TGTGTGTCTGTATGTGTGTGAGAGAGAGAAAGAGAGAGAGAGAGAGTGTGTGTGTTTACATACCCCCTGGCTCCACATGTAGTCATACATTAGAAACTTTCCCAGAGGGCTAGAGAGAATAATTAGATGTTGCCCAGAAAAGCAAGGGAAAATTATTTAAAATGTGAAATATGTCGCTTTCTATTAAGGAATAAGCCTGGTGTGCCGCAGTTTTTATCAAGGTGATGTAAACTTATGAAATTAATGGACCTGTGCATCATTTACTTCAGGTATCACTAACTATATGCAAGTTGCTCTAATAGCTGCCCGAGTTTCATCTGTCAGAGATTATACAAGAGCTTTGGAGCTTTTCCACATTTGATATAAGTTGGGCTCTCATGCCTCTGTTTAGGTTTTTTGCTAGTTACTGCTCCATCTCTGTGTCTGTCTTCCACTTTCAAAAGCAGTGTCCATGGTCTTGTACTCAAGTTGGCTTGGAGGCCTCTCTCTCTCTCTCTCTCTCTCTCTCTCTCTCTCTCTCTCTCTCTCTCTCGGGGATCTGGCATGAGGGTAGGAAAGGATGTTGGATTTAGATATGCAGATACCTGGATCTATGTTGGAGGGGGGAATTAGCCTTCCAGCTAAAGACTGGTCTAGACCAAGCAACCTCAGAGTCTGTTGACTTAATAACAGGCTGGGCAGGGATGGACGGATGTTGGAGCTTGGGGAAGGGGAAGGGATGTTGTGCCAGAGACAGGAATTCAAAGCCTCTTCAGCCCTATAGCTGTTCCCAGGAAAACGGCTCCAGTTGGCATTTCCATGTAGTAGCAGTGTTGCCCAGTGGCCAGTTCTGGTACTGCAAGCTTCCCAACCCACACCAAGCACAGCTCATCTTCCAGCTTTCCTCTACTCTCTGTATCTCTTCTCCCTATTCTGGAGCCGAGTAGATTCCAGTTGTTTGGCCCTGACTTCCTGCCGCCCATCAGGAGGTCTCTGTGATCAGATCCCATGATGTCATCATCAATTACATCTTGTGCTGAAGTACCAGGAATGTGTCTGTCTCCCTGGGGAAGAAGAGTCTCTTGTATGCGGGAGCAGCATTTCCAGGGGTTCTTAATCTTTCCCTCCTACACAAACTATGGTATGATAGAAGAAGCACTGAATTGGGAGTCCAGAGGCCTAGGCTTTAATTCCAGTTTTGCTGTTAATTCCGTATCTGATGCAGGCAATTAATTTCTCTTCTCTAAAAGCCTCTGTTTGTTCATTTGTAACGTGAAGGGGTTAAATGTTCTTGGGCTACATTCAGAACAAGTACGTGGTTTTCCTAACAGTCTCTTCCCTGGTGAGAGCACCTAGAAGAGGGGAGCCTAAATGGTCAAGGTCTCTGAGGCCTGGTCATAAAAAGATTGATTGGGGAAACTGGGGATGGTTAGTCTAGAAAAGAAGCAAAAGCTCAGGTTGGAGGTGGAAGAGGGAAGGGAGGATGACATAATAACTATCTTCAAGTACTCCAAGGGCTGTTACATAAGCAAATGGGATTGGACTTGTTCTTTCTGGCCCTAGAGGGCAAAACTGGGAGTAATGAGTAGAAGCTACAAAGTGATGAACTTTGGCTTAATGGAAGGAAAAATTTCCCAACAGTTAGAATTGTTGCAGAGTGGAATGGTCTGACTTAGGAGATAGAGGCTTCCTTCTAACTGGAGGAGGTCTTCAGGCAAAGACTGGAAGATCACTTGTCAAATCTGTCATTTGGGGGATTCTTTTTTCTTTTTCTTTTTCTTTTTTTTTTTTGGCTAGGCACTGGGCTTAAGTGACTTGCCCAGGGTCACACAGCTACTAAGTGTTAATGTGTCTGAGGCCGGATTTGAACTCAGGTCCTCCTGAATCCAGGGCCAATGCTCTATCCTCTGTGCCACCTAGCTCCCCCTCTTTTTGGAGGGGGGATTCTTTTAGGGGGGTGGGTTGTATTAGTCAGGCAATGAGGTCTCTTCCATCTCTGAAATTCATTGATTTTGTGACAAAGTAAAGGCCCTCCTAGCTCTGCCATTCTAGGACTATCGTTCTGCTCTGGCTGTCAAGTGCAAGTACTACATGTAGGAGTGGGGGGAGGGGGATTCTGCAGCTTCCTTTGAGGATGAGGATGGGAAGGAATGGAACAAAACCATGGGAACTCTTGGACCAGGGTGTGCTGGCTTGTCCCTTTGGTGAGGCAGTGTGTCACTCTGCCCCTCCTATTTCTCTTCTTGTTGGTTTCATCTACTTCCAAGACTCCAGAAGGTTTGTGCAAGGAGGGATTACCTGGGATAAGACTCTAGGACTTTGGTACTTGGCCTACCATGGGGTTCTACCCCTTTATTTGTAGGCTACTGAAGGGTGGAATTTTCCCCAAAGAGGATTGATAGGTAGTTTGTTGGGTTAACCTGTACTCTTATTGGATAGAGAGGTAGGAAATTGCAGCGACCTGAATCTTTACTAGATTACTTTACTAGAATCTTTACTCATCTCCCTTATTTCTGTTGCCGTTGTCCTCCCAAATGGCCAAAGGTGCCATTATCTTCTCCATCACCCATGGTCAAAATTTCAGAGTCATCTTTGATCCTTCCCTCTCTCTTATCCCAAAATCCAATCAGTCATCCAGTCCTATTAATTCTGCTTCCACAATATGGATGATAGTCAAGTCTTTCACTTCCTTTCCACTCAAACTGTGACCACCTTGACTCAGGCTTTCATGACCTCCTACCTGGTCTTCCCCCCTCTATTCTTTCCCCTATTCAGTCTGCCATTCCTATTTAATCTTCCTAATGCTCATATTTTACCTTTGCCACTCTCCTGCTTAAAAACTTTGAGAGGCAACTTGGTGCCTATTGAATAAAATACAAACTCCTTGGTCAATCTTTTATTTAAGACTCTTCACTATCTACCTACAGCCTTATTTCCCATGATTCCACTTCACAAACTCCAAATTCCAACCAAATTAGGCTATTAGCTGATCTTGCCCTAAACTGTTCTGGCTCAGTGCACGCATGTGTGACCTTCCCCATGGCCCAAACATATTCCTTCCATCTCTCCACAAGTTAAAATCCTTCTCTTCCTTCTGAGGCATAGTCCAGGTGCCACCTTCTAAATAAAGCCTTTCCTGATCTCACTCCATGCCCATCTCACTTTTACTCTGAACTGGAATCAGGAAGACCTGAGTTTAAAGCTGACCTTGGACACTTACTAGCTATATGAACATAGGCAAGTCACTTAACCTCTGAAAAATGAGGAAATAATAGCATCTAATTCCAAGGGTTGTTGTGAGGATTAAATGTTGTGAGGAGATAATATTTGTAAAGTACTTTGCAAAACCTTAAAGAGCTATACAAGTGCTGAGCATTATTGTTGTTGTTATTTTATCTGTTCCTCCTCAAATGTTCTTATTCCCAGTGTTTAGATCTCTTCTTTGACCTTATTATACTCTGAGGAACTCTGAAAATTAACTGGGACAAAGTAAAATAAGTTTATTGATATACACAAGAAACCTTACAACTTTTTATATTAAAAAACCCATTTTTAATATGCAATATATCCCCATTTTCTTGCAAGCACTTGTTTTATATGATTTAGTATTGATTTCACAAGATTTTGACCTATATTTAATTACTCATCATGAAACCATACTTATGACATTGGAGATTAAGTACACTTTATATAAACAGTTCATTCTTCCAAGTCTAGCCATAGTTTATAGATGGGTTTTTTTTTTCCCCAAGCAGGATTTACATAAAATGAGTTCCCAGATCCTTTAAGCATGGTTTTTTCTGTCTTTTGGGTAACTTTCTTAACTTTTGGCATCATGCAAAGTTGTGCTATAGTATTCCATCTCCAGTTGGGTATCTCTGTAATTTCAGAATGATTCTGCTTCTTGGTATATCAACATATTTACCAGAGTTCATCATTGCCTCGATAGGGACATGCCTTCCAGGCCCACTGGAAATTTAAAAATTCCCTCAAACACTTTTTGGGTATGGATGGATACTTTATAGCCTGATGAAAATACCCAGATATTACAGATTTATAGACTTCTTCCAACAAAGGTTTTGTATATCCTTGAATGAAAATGTGAAAAGTCATTAGTAAAATTACTTTTTTCCTATCTTCAGTACTTTAGTCTTTGTATTGTCCTGTCCTATGACATACTTTTTTTTTTATGGCAATGGTTAACAGCTTAAAACCTCAACAACTGTTCTTCTGGCTGTTTTTCCAACTTGAAGACGTCTACACAGCATTGCAGAGAAATCATTAACAACCCCTCCAGCTGCCAGGTCCCTCTGAAGGTCTTTGCTTCTTTTCTGAGGACTAATTAGGCTGTCGTTTGTTTGTTGCTCTAGGTGTTATTTTTTGGTTTTTATTGCACTTAACTTTTGACCTCCACACCAGCAGCTGCTGCAATAACTTTAAAAGTTGTTAAAGGGTGCTCTTGAAGAACTACAGTTTTTGCACATTTCCTTAGAATAATGCCCATTCTTAAAAATCACAGAATTAAAAACATCACAAAACAAAGTCTTGTATAGAATGAACTATAGTGTTCAATTGTCAGGGAACTAACCAAAAGTCAGGAAACCAGCTCAGTGAAATTGCACTGGTCAGGGTCAGAAGTTCTGAGTCAGCCTAGCATTAGTAGAACCATGCTTGGCTGAACATTGTCACAAAGTGAAACCATATAAAAATGATTGCTTGTCCCAAGTAATGCGCACACCGCAACAATTCACTGTAACATATCAGACTTATTAGTAGATGTGACACATCCACCAGAGAGAGTGTGAACTCCTTGAGGACAGGAATTGTGTTGCTTTTCATATTTTTTTATTGATGTGCACAAGAATATTGAGCAGTGTCTTGCATATAGTGATTAAGAAATGTTTATTGACTGAAGTTGAATTGAATTGGCCTCTTGGGCATGGGCCTAGAGGTGTTCCATCTTCTGTCTAGGCCACATTGTGGTAACCTCCTCTCTTCCTGTCTTTGATCTTTTCTTGTAGACGGAGCCCCACTTAGTGAGCTGTCCTGGTCCTCCTCTCTTGCTGTGGTGGCTGTTTCTTTCTCTGGACTTTTTACCTTCATCTTCCTCATGCTGGCTTGCCTGTGCTGTAAGAAGGGAAACATCGGGTTCAAGGTAAGGCATGGACTAGTCTTCATCCATGGAAGGGAGAGATGAGTTTTGTAGTGAGAGAGGAGCCTAAACCAGGTACCCTTGCCTGCCAGAGATACCGTTCACGTTAATTTGGAGGATTTCCAGGGGTGGGCCTGCCTTCTACCCAGCTTTGTATCCTCTTCCTTCTGTAAGAAGCCCAAAGAGGACAATATGATTTGGTAGGACTAGTTACCTGTTAGTGTTAGGAGGGTGAAGAGGATGAATGCCAGTCAATGGATAATGTCTTGAGCCCCATGCCTAGGATCATAGCCCCAGTGGCCCAGCACAAAGCCTTGGAGTAAACTCAGGCATCCTGGACCTCTTTGCCTTTCCCTAATTCTGGTGGTAGTTTTTTTTTTTTTCCTTTCTGGGTATGCTATCCACTGGCCACGTTTCGTGGCAGAGGTCTGTTATTGGCACATTCACCAAAAACCTCGTTGAAGAGAACTAACCCAGGATGTAGTCAGAGCAGGTCCAGACAGTTCTATCAGTGACTACAACTCCAGCTCTCGCCTCTGCCAGCTGACTTACTTTGGTAGAGGTGGGTGAGAGCTTGAATGGTGTGACAGGATCCGTCCACATTGCCAAGAATGTTCATGTAAAAGCCCGAGGTCACGCTGCTGACCTTGAGTTCAAGATACCCGTCTTTGAATCAAAGTGCCCATCTTTGCCTGTCAGAGGTAACAACAAAGAATTCACAGATACACACACACACACACACACACACACACTCACACACACACACACAGAGTGTCCTTGAGAGGAGATAGGGGACATGTCCTAATAGTGCCCAGCCCTTGCTGGTTCTGCTGCTGAGCATCTTCTCAGGATCACCTGAGAGCACTTGGGTGGCAATAGTCTTAGGTCTCCAGACCTCTCCCTTCTCTTCCCATCTTTGTGCCCATATCAATTTCCTATTGAAGCTGGTGGAGAATTTTGTGCCAATGATATTTTATAGGCTTTTAGTGATATTGATAATGATAACCATAATAATAGCACAGCTCCAGTGAATTACCTCTCTATGGAATCACTCATTTGGATCTACAACTCCTGGGGCAGCAGTATTATATGTAAAAACCATTTCTGATGGAATTTTAGAGATTTCTCCATTTCCTGCATTGATCTCTGTGCAAAATTAATAGAGGCAGTGCCCCATACTGTGATAAGTTTATGGTCTGCCTGTTGGAGGCATTGCTTGGTTTCTTGAGCCCTGTAGATTATAAGTCAGACATCAAAACTGCTTTTCACTTATAGTGCCTAATTCATCTCTAATAAATCACAGCATTGTGTAGAGAGAAAAGCCCTGATCTTGGTATCAGGAGACTGTATTGTAATCCCAGATCCATTGCTTTTTAGCCATATGGCCTTGGGCAAGTTACTTTTCTAAGGATCAGTTTCCTTACCCTTAAATGGGAATAGTATTATTTGCACTGCCTAATCCTTAGGTTTGTTGGGAGGTAATGAATGTGAAGGCATTTTGTCAACACTTTGCAAATGTGAGGAGTTATCTTTGTTAAATCTTAGGAGGTTTAAGGGCCTGGGAAACAGAACAAAAAGTCCTTGGAGCTGTGAACAATTCAATTCAGTAAACATTTATTAAGTGCCTACTAGGTGCCAGCACTGTGCTAAGTGCTGGGATACAAAAAGAAGCAAAAGACAGTCCCTGCCATAAAGGAGCTTACAATGTAATGGGGGAGACAACATGCAAACAAATATATATAAAGCAAGTTATATAGAGGATAAATAGAAAAAAAAAAAAAAAGAGGGAGGGCACTGGAATCAAGAAGGGTTAGGGAAGGCTTCCTACAGAAGGTGGGATTGTAGTTGGGGCTTAAAGGAAGTAGTTGGAATGTAGGAGGTTGAGCATTCCAGGCATGGGGGAAAGCCAGAGAAAATGCCCGACAGGGCATCTCTAGCACACACCCAGGACTCCTTTAGCTAAACCTTTAGATTCTGAAGCTCAGAATCAAAGTTGAAATTCCTGATTTAGAAGCACTTCTGATTCTGATGGTCTCTTTTGAACTGAGTTAGTCTAACTCACCGAGTTAATAGGATCAAATTACCATTTTCCAAAGGGAGTCTAGTAAACAGAATCCACAATACTAGTATTAATTATTATAAGAATTGGGAATACCTCTCATTTCCATGACAATTTTCCCTTTCAGAGGGCTCCTCCATGTGGTTATTTCATGAGGAATCCTCTCAGTCTTTCAAGGTAGAGAGGGCAGAAATCATTATCCTTACTTAGGTAGAAGACTACTTATGTTCCCACCTTTTTATAGGTGGGAAAACAGAGGTGAAGGGATTCCTCAGAGATGGAGGATGATAGAATAACTCAAAGGTGAAGGGACTTCCTAAAGTTACACAGCCATTGTGGGACTTGAGCCTCCACTGGTCTGAATGGACCAAACTGCTTCTGGCTGCTCTGCTTGGAAACAACAGAGAGGTGAAGTGATTTTCCCATGGTCACATAGCCATTATGGGACCAGCACCCATGGTCTGACAAGACTAAGCTACCCCTAGCTGCCCTCCCATTCCTTCCTTGTCCCTTCTGTTCTCTTTTCCAAGTCCTCCTGACCCCCTCCTACCCTTTCTTCACCCACCTCACTCCTCACCAAAGGACTCTGCCTGGCACAGAGCTGACACATCTCCCCACAGTAATGCTGGGTATTGCAGCAAGATGAAATGCTTTGGCCCCAGGCCACTCTCAAAGGGTGGGAGTCTCTGACCTCACAGGCACAGAATGTGCTGGAGAAAGTGATTCTCCCACAATCTTTGGGATTTCTGTGGAGATGTCTGGCAATAGGTTTGCAAAACCAGCTGCTATAGAGGGGAAAGAAGTAGAAAATGAGTGGGGAGTCAACCAAGGAGGGTGGGGGGGGGGCGGCTGGGTAATGCAATACAGTCCTGTCCTAGCTTTTTCCTAAACACTCCAGGAGAACAAAGTTCCATCTTGCCCTTCTCCTACCAGCCTTGACCCCTTCATCTCCCTGTTTAAGATGCTTCCCTCAGAAAATGCCAGATGGAGAACTGGCTTTGGGGTGTGGTTGCTTCCTAGAGAAGCTCCCTCCCAGACACCACTGGGATCCCCGCAAGCCAGCTCAGCTTCTTGAGCTTCTTCCTCTCACTCACTTCTGTAGGGCCGTGGGTGGACAGCACAACCTTGCTGGAACCGTCCATAGGAAGAGGGGGCAGTGATCATACTGTCCTATCTGATCACTGGTGTAGCCTGTAAGATTTGAGACTTCTCTCTGCAGCACTGCCAGGTAACTAGGTTTGTCAGGAAGTGGCCCTCCCACCTTCATCCCCCAGGATGGCCTCAGAGCACCATTCCTTCCAGGGCACAAGTTAGAATTCCTATTTCCTTGGGAAGTGGTTCACAAGAGCTCTCTCTGAGATGGAAAGGGGCTAGGCTGAGAGTGTGGCTTTGGATTTGAACTCAGTGGGTTTTTAAGTGGATTGAAAGTGCTTTTGGAAATCCCTTGGTAGAAGAGATGATTCTCTGGGAGAGGCAGGAGAGAAAGGATGTCGGGGGAATTTAGGTGATGTAAAAAATGAAAGATATCAATAACAATTCAATTTTTTTTTTAAAAAGTGCTCTTGAATGTCTTCTGCCCCTGTTGGTAGAAATTGAGTGCTAGGAATGGAGAGGAGAGTACATACTGTCTGTCATGATGGTTTCTGGGCCCTGCTATTTAACAGGCACTTTCCTTAGGAGCAGGTTGGTATTACTCCTTTTGCTTTGGGATCGCCCAACCTCAAGCTTTTATAGAACATCGAGGAACTCCCTGTAAAGGGGTGGGGTAAAGAAGGATTGCTAAATTGGCCGTCCCTGCCCAAGGGTAAAGGTCTAATCTTCATCTGGCAGATGGCTGCGGTAGGTGGCATGGGGCTGGGGAGCCCAAGGTGGGGGTGAGTCTGGTCTGCAACAAGACTTCCTTGTGGAACTAAAGTATACTCTCTCTCTATCCTTAGGGAGAGTTAAGGGTAGGGGACAGGAGGTGAGGAGTGAATGAATGTGAAGGAGCAAATTGATTTGCTAAAGATTTTACAAATGGAACTAAAGGAACTTTCCTCCATTAACCTGAGATGTCCAAGGGTTGGGTAGGATTGAGCTGGGTTTCTGGGGACTCCCAGTGGATATAGTTCACATCTCTTATTGGGCCACTATGACCCCCAAGGAATTAAGTGTGAAGAGGGAGGTAGCCCTGCCCCCCCCTTCCTTGTTGAAATGGGTGCAAAGATTTATTTGACTCATTCTACAACTCCATTGGAAGAGGAGAAAGGGAGCAGGAGTACTGGCAGTGCAAGCCATCCACATGGTTGGTGTGGGCACAGGAATACAGTCCTGTGAACTCTAGGAGCCTAGAGGTGTGCATGTGCCTGATATGCATGCTTATTCACCCGCATAGAGGTTGTTACATGTGTAGTAAAAGGCAGGTAAGGAAGGCAACCTCCCATTTTCTTTGTGGAGAATTACAGCGTGAAAGGTTAGATTGAATTCAGGAGGAAACTGCCTGGCCAAGGATTATTAGAAACCTCCTGGTAATGCTTAAGATTGTATGGTTGGCCTCTGTCCTTCCAGGCTAGTTGAAGGACCGTCCTAGGGAGAGGTGGGGAGTGAACAGATGACCTGCTGTTAGGTCATCTATGTCTATGCTGTTAGGTCAGATAGGTAGGCACTATAGGTGCTATGATCCCCATTTTACAAATGAGGAAACAGAGTCTCAGAGAAGTTAAGTGAGTTTCCTTCCTTTTGTTTCTGTGTCTCTTCCTCATGGAGAAAATGATATCTCTTTGAACACTAGACGTGCAACTCAGACTGGAACCCAGCTGAAAGGGAGTAGTCTTTGGTTTGGCTGCAGGAGGAAGAAAAGTGAAATTATTCATGTTTGGATCCCAGTGGCTGAAGAGTCGGGGGAGAGGGGTCTATGTTTGAATATTGAGCTTCAACCAGAGTCTCTTAACCTAAGGTCCATAGACCCCATTGTAAGAGGTTGAGGTTTGTGGATAGATTTCACGGGGTCTGGTTACTTGGGTGGGAAAAAACATACCTTTATTTCAATATAATTGTTTTCCTTTGTAACTGTATGTATTTTATTTATTTAAAAACATTATTCTAAGAAGGGACTCATGGGCTTCACCAGACTACCAAAGATTTCCATGGCACAAAAAAAGATAAGAACCCCTGGTTTAGACTAAGTTGATATGTTGAGGATTTCTCTGGAGGCTCAAGAAAAAAGTCCCTAGAGGGCTTGTTTGTTTAGTCATTTTCAATTGTGTCCAGTTCTTTGTGACCCCTTTTGGGGTTTTCTTTGGCAAAGATACTGGGGTGGTTTGCCACTTCCTTTCTCCAGCTCATTTTTACAGATGAGGAAACTGAGGCAAACAGGGTTAAGTGACTTGCCCAGGGTCACACAACTGCAGCTAGTAAGTATCTGAGGCCAGATTTGATCTCAAGATGAGTCCAGGCTCAGTATCCTATCTACTTGTGCCACCTAGCTGCTTAGAGGGATTAGTAGGACAGTGATAAATATAATCTCCACAGTACTTAACACCTTGAGGCTTATCAGATTTGACCTAAGGCTTCCCAGCCAGGGCCTAACACAGAATTTCTATCTACACAGTCACATGTTCTTTGTTAAGAGGCACTAGGATCAATATCACCAGCCTTACCTCTTCTCCCAACTATACCCACTGCTCTCCCCACCCCCCACCCCTGTCAGCTCTGGGACTCTCCCTGAAAAGCAGAGTACTCTGCCAGGGCAGTCTGACTCAACCTGTCTGCCTGCATAACTCTGCCCTCTCTAGCCAGAAGCATTTCCCTCCTCCCCAGCCCCACCTATCCACCAAGGTAGCTTCAGGCCACAGGATGGATGAGGCAGGGATACCCAGGAATGTGATTCAGGAGAATGGACTGATGTAGGAGATGGAGTCCATGCTGCTGCATTGAGTAATATTTTCTTTTTGTTCTTTTAAAACTTCCTTTAAAACAGAGGTTTTTAACTTGGGGTCTAAGCAACCCTTTTAAAAACAACCTTGATAATTATGTCTAATATAATAGGTTTTCTTTATAATCTTGTGCATTTTGTATATTTAAAACCATTATTCTGAGAAGGGGTACATAGGCTTTACCAGACTGCCAAAGGGGTCCATGGCCCCAAAAAAGTGAAGACCCTATGCTAAAAGTAGGGGCTTCTCTACTGTATTTAGAGCTGGTGTCTCTGAGGCAGAGGTATGAACTAGATGTGGACAAAGTGCAGTGCAGTGATCTGATGAGCGCTTCTCCCATTCATCCTCTGCCTCCCAAAGCAGACAGTCTGAGGACTGGGACCTGTGAGGACTTTGGGAAGTGTCTAGTGCCTGTGGCTTGGAGGGGAAGTTGAAAGGGTAAAATAATGGGATGGGGGAGGGAAAGTAGCAGGAGAGAGAGTGAGAGAAGTATGTGTGTATGGGGTGATGGTGGGTGGGGAGAGGAGAGACTGCAGAAAAAGTCTGGAAGAAGCTTTATTTGTCTTTCTGTTAGGGAAGGGCGATCCTGACCTCTTTGACCCTGACGATAGAGGCAGAACAAAGGGGAAGAAGAACTGGGGACTGGGATGACGTAACCCAGAGGGGCTTGCAGGGAGGGGTCAGCTGCAGGTGTGAGGAGCCTGCCAGTGGGTGGAGGGGAGGGAAGCTTTCTGTATGCAGTCAGTGGTCAGGACCATGGAGGGCACCTTTCAGAACAGCGGGGACACCCCCACCGCTTTTTTTTTTTAACTCACTGCCTATCTGTCCATCCCTCCATCCATCTGACTGACCCCTTGCAGGAGCCCCCAGGGAACCCTGGATCAGGATCCACGGCTCACGGGAGGTCTCCGTCTCCGCTTGCCCCCCACCAGGAGTTTGAGAATGCCGAGGGTGACGACTACACCACCGAGTTCTCCGTGCAGGGGTCTCCGGCCACGCAGAATGGCCCCGAGGTGTACATACTGCCCCTCACTGAGGTCTCACTCCCCATGGCCAAGCAGCCTGGGAGATCAGGTTAGTCTCATATGAAGAACCCGAAGTCAGCCCTGAAACTGGGGCCCTCTACTTCCCAGATACTTCAAGGACCACCTGTTTCCCCATTTCCTCACCCATCTTACCCTCACATTCTTATCCTGAGACTCGGAAAAGATTAGAGACTGTCCTCTGGACCATATTGAATTAAGAAAAATTATAGTATAGATAGGCTGAGGTCTTGTTGGAGACTTGCATGGGATCAACACACGCCGGCCCTAGGATCTTTATTATAAGGCCTACTTTGCCTGGCTGCCTTCCTATAAGTATGACTAGACCTGTTGGTGGCATTTCAATTTCTTAGGAAATTGGAATATATAGACTTTATTCTATATCATAGTAGTATACTGGGACTAAGGGTCAGATTGCACAAAGAAGGCTTTGGGTGGGCCTTGGGCCCTCCTGAGCAGTGGCAGAATTTGTTGATACAGGTGTCGTGCCCTGCTCTCCTGGAGCACGGTCCCTGGCCAACATGATCCCTATTTCTAAGAGGATGCATAAACTTGACAGCTTATGTTAGGTTAAGCACCCTCACCCCTAACCCTCAGAGGGTAAGCTCCTAAGGGTCCTAGAGTAGGAATGAATGACCTCAGACAGTAGGATCTCAGGGTGGTGTATATAGAGGTCTGCCTATTCCTGGATCCCTTTTCCTTGACAATAGTACTTTGAGGCAGGGCTTCAAAGCCTAATGGGGCCTGACCTATTGTTCTTGGACAATAAAACTTGGACTCAGTCAAAAGGTGCACCCAAGGACCTACAAGGCCACAGGTTCCCCACCCCTGATCTAGTCTAACCCATCATTTTACAAGTGAGGAAGCTGAGACCCAGAGAGTCAGTCTTTCAGTCCATCAACAAGCATTTATTAAGCATTTTCTATGTATCAGGCACCGTTCTAAGCACTGGGGATACAAAGAAAGGTAAAAACAAAAACCAACAAATAAAAAAATTCCTCCAAAGCACACTGTTCTCAAAGAGAAAACATTTCTAATGGGAAAGACGAATAAATGATTTTTCCAAGGTCGCATATGTAGTGAAATAATAGGGCTGAGATTTCAACCCAGGTCTTGATTCCAGATTCAGTGGTTTTGTCCTTATGCCATGCTGGTATGTAAAAGTCCTTCCCTTCTCTGGGGCTGTCCTTTCAAGAGAGGGAGAATGGACACTGAGAACCTGGGCAGTGCCAGCTTCTTCATCTTTTCTGGCACAGGCCACAAGTCTTTTCCAGTTGTGGAGTGTGAGAGGGAGGAGAGACATATAGCCTCCAGGTTCTTCTGCAAAGACTCCCCCCCCCCAGGGGAGCACTTAAGGTTTAGGGGAGATGGGTAGAAGATAGACCCTTCTGTGTCAACTCTGCCAGCCCTGGTGTCCATTGCCATATTCTAGTTAGAACTGAAAAAGACCCCTTCCCAGGGCCAGCCAGTTTCCCCCATGCCAACCAGGTGGCCAACTAAGAAAGATCCACATGTAACCAAGACTGAGAAGACACAGACCAGCCTTAACCTTGTGGCTTCCATGTGACAGGAGCTGATGTGAAGTTGCACATCTTGCAGAGGGGTGTTGGTTTTCCCGCTCTCTCTCTCCTTTGGCCCAGAGCCAGAGGTTATATCAGGAAAGAAGAAAAAACCCATCCCTTCCTAGAAGGGGCAGGCGTGGATGTTCAGCTGTTAAGGGAACAGAAGGAAAGAAAGTTTGGAGCTCAAGTCTGAACTACATTTTCTCTTATGTGTCCTCATCCCACCACCACCCCGGGAAGGTCCCTTTAGGATATTAGGGGGGGAGAGGGAGAGGAGAAGCAAGAATGTGTTGCCTTGCTATTGAGTGGCATTCACCCCAACTCTGTGCCATCCTGTGACCTCTGGACCGGGCAGACCAAGAGGCCTTGGAGATTCTGCAAGTCTTTTGGACTTCTGGAAAGAAGGCAGAACGATTCCTAGCTTATTTCTTCCCCTCCTCCCAAACTCCTACCCCACCCAATGGCTGTGGACATGAGCCCAGGCCAACCACGCAGCCCTGTTTGGCCATTGTGCTCGGACAGGGCAGCTCGTCCACACACACAGGCGCTTTTCTTGTGTTCTGTGAACCTCATGGGCTGTGGGGCCCATGAATCTGTCCTTTCAGTCTGAGAGGAGTGGGCGGGCCGGAAAGGGGGCTGGGGGCTTATTTCCAGCGGTGCTTTGTAATTTGGGGGGTGTGGTGGGGGGTAGGTGTGGGTGTAAGAACAAGGTACTTTTTCACTATTTCTTCTATCAGAAGGCTGGATTCTTCCACCACAATGGGAAAGGGGCCAGGGTTGGGGCTGGATAATACTCCCAGGACGGAAACTTGCCCTGACCAGGATCCTCTTTCTATAGGGGCTATCTGGCTCCTCCTTGCTGAATGCTGAGAGTTCCTGCAGGCACTGAACTGGTCCCCATTCTCACTCAATTTCCCTTTCCATAGGTACTGAGGAGATAGCCTTAAGTTGCCTCCCCTAGTTCTGTGAGGTCTCCAGTACCATCCTTGAGCCTCCAACCATAGTCCCAAGGCCTCTGACCACCTATAGGAGGTTGATCTAGTTTACTGCCTTCCCTGAATTGGGGGTAGGACTGTAAGACTTCAATAAACACCCCAGAATAGAGGTGGGATAGGGATTTCATAGTCAGAGAGGCCCCCTCCCCATAACCAAGGTTGTCTGAGGGTTGTATGATATTTGTGAAGTATGATATAGGAGCACAGTGTAGGGGTAAAAAAGAGAGATAGGCAGGTTTGCCTAAGTCATCTTCTACCCTCTGGACTTTGGGAGTGTAAACCTGCCAAGGGGGACATTCTGATCTCAGAGCTGAGCTGCCTCTTAGGGGTTCTGAGGGGCTCTATGTCAGGCAACTGTCGTCAGAGTGATAAGGAGACTGAGGGCAGATAATGTAGGCTCATCTCCCACTTGTTCTTCCTGAATTTAGGCCATGGGTTCTGAACTTGGATGGGGAAATTTTTTTTCATCATTATTTCCACCAGCCTCTAACTGAACTTGGGCATTTCCTTCAATTATGCATTAAAAAAGGGGTCCATAGATTTCGCCAGATGGCCAAAAGGTTAACTGTGCCCTAGGTCACAGTTTATGTGCCTCCTCAATCCCTCTCCCTAAGGGAAAAAAACAAGAACAAGGGTGACAAACTCCCCAAATCCTTGCCCACCCTCCCCTGACTCAGGCTTGGGTCCAAGTTATCTCTCTAGCACATAATGGGAACTTCTAGAAATTTCAGTTGTAATGCCCTTTACTCCATCACCCTGCCCCTCCCTTTGTCTACTTAGAGTTTCCAGGAAAATGATAAAAATGTCTAAAAGTCAAATGCTTGCCCATAAGAGAGCCATTTCCCATGCTAGGGAGCCCTGGGGCCCATCACTGAAAGAAGGCAAGACTGTGAACCCAAGGTCCTCCAGTACTTTTTAGGTATAACACCTGCCATTTGGGGAGCAGTCCTGAGCAGGCAGAGGGAGATGAGATCAGAGACTGAGAGTTAGAAGGGGGTCAAGGCCATTGAGTTCAGCTCCCATCACCAAAAAGAGATCAGTCGCTTTTCCAGAAGTCCCATGTCTGGTCTCCGAGAGATTTGAACTTACTCCAAAGCTCTATCCATGAAGGCATGTTGCCTCCCATATCTAATAATGATTGTAGTAATAGTAATACCTAGCACTTATATAGAGCTTTGAAGTTTGTAAAGCGCTTTCTATGTGTTAACTCATTTGATTCTCACAGTAATTCTGAGAGGGAAGGATTGTTATTGTCCCCATTTTTGCAGTTAGGGAAACTGAGGCAGAGAGAGCTTAATTAAGTGACTTCCAGGGTCACTAAGCTAAGTGGTTGAGCCACATAGCTGCTGCAGTCCAAGGTGACTCCTGACCACCCAACTCCATTCCACAGTCCTCCACCCTTGTCAGGTGGAAAATCTAAGGAGAGAGGAAGGAATTTGATCGCGGTTGATATCACCCTTACACTAGGACTCGGGCGCCTGACTCCCAGGTCTAATACTCTGACTCTTTACTTTATTTGCCCTCATCTTCAGGGAAGAGTCTTCCCCTTTGCCCTTTTTATAAAGTTCTCCAGGTGTGTCCTTCTCTCTCTCAGATTAAAAGCAAGAATGAGCTTTAGTGATAAGTATATTCGGACCTCTTGCCTTTCTATCCCAACTTGATTCAGAATTTCTTGAAAATCTTTTAGCAGTTGTGGAAATTCTAGGGCTGACAGGCCATTTAGGAGGGACTCCTTCTGATAAAGTTGGTTGGCCTGAAAGGGCAAGGTAGACAAGGGGCAGGTTTATGGACTCATTTTCTTTCTACTTCCTGCTATCTATCATTGATTGAGAGCTGGAAGGGCCCTTACAGGTCCCTGAGTAATCCCCCTCATTATAAAGATGAGGAAATTGAGGCCCAGAGAGTTTAAGTGTCTTGCAAAATCTCACATCGGCAGAACTGGAATGTGAACCCAGGTCCTCCTGCTATTTCCACTATACCAGACTGCCTCAGAGCAATAGAAGTCATTTTAGTTTTGTTCTCATTTCTAGGACTACACTATTTGTGATGAGCAGCCCAAATCTGGGAGTATGGAGATTAGATAGTCACGTCCTTTAAAAGCTGCCTTCCCTTGGTGGTCAGAAATGAGAAAAAAAAAAAGAGAAAAGGTGACCACATAAACTTGCCTGGCTTCAATGCTAGGAGAGCCAGGTCCAGGGTAAAAAAACACCATCAAAGCAACCTAGGTAATTCCCAACAATCAAGGCCTTGGAGAGTCTCAAAGGGCTTAATCAAACAGAGGAGGGCCCTGTATGCCTGCTTGACTTCAGAGGAGTCCACATTGGCACCCCGAGTTTCCCAAACAAAATTAGCAAATCTGGAGCAAAGGAGTGATAGGACCCTCTTAATCTGTTCCTCTTGTCCCAGAAAGCTTCTCCCAGAGCCTAGAGGCCTGTTCAATTCAGTTCTCACACCAGAGGCAGGAACATGTGGGAGAAGGTGGTGCTCAGGGATGTCTTGGGAAGATGAGAAGTTGGGATTTTAATTTTAATTTATAGTTGCACCCTTCTTCCCCTCTCACCCTGGTCCCTTTCCCCCATACTACAAAGCCCTGGGATGCCTCCCAGGTTTAAAAGGGGCTTCTGTGAATGGTTTCTAAGGTCTGGGGCCTGTAGGAAGAAGCAGCAGGCCCTAATCTCCCCATTAAATGGCAAGTGAAGAAATAGTATATTTCTCTCAGAGTCATAGAATGTCAGAACAGGAAAGGACCTTAGAAATTATCTAATCCAATCCATTTGTTTTACAGAGGAAGTCACTGAGGCAAAACAATTTGTCCACGATCATATGACTGAGTAGCTATCCAGATTTCTAGTGCTGGGCTTTTCTTCAACACATCATAGAGGGAGCCCCAAGATATAAAACTCTATGAAGTTTTCCCTTCATCTTTGTTCAAACGTCAGGGATTCAGTGATTCCAACCCCAACTCTCTTCTCATTTTTGGGATTTGGGTTCTTGGGTTCTAATTGGGGTAAAGGGCTTAGGAAAATGTCTCTTGAGTGCTCTTCAGTCTGATTCCTGAAGGGAAGATAAGTGCTGTCCACCCCACTCTCCTTTCTGGGGCCCAAGAAGAGGCCAGAGTATTTGCCTGAAATCTCCAATATCCCTCCTCCCCTCCAGTAAACAAGGGTGATGTGTGTGGGAACAGAATTCACAGGATGCCAGGAAGAGCTAGAGGGAGTCAGGGCAGATACCAGGGTCCAGCAACTGGCCCCTTCCCTCAGGATTGTGCCGGGTGCGGCCGCCACTGACCTCACCCAGGCCTGGTTTGGGGTGGGAGGGAGCCCAGAGGAGAATGGGGCCAGTGTGTCCCGTGTAGGGCTGTGCCAAGCAGTCCCCAACAATAGGCCTTTGGTGGGGCTGGAATGTCGCTGCAGTGATTGGGTTGGAGGGATGTCAAAGTGTTCCCCATCTTTCCCGCCCTCTGTCCTCCTACACTGGGGCGGGAGGGGGTGGGTGGGCAGCATCATCAGCAACTTGCCCAAACAACTCTGTCTGCCTGATGCTGCCCACTTAGTGGGCTCTGGACTTTGCCATCTTCTGCATTCAGTTGCTGGGCTCTTACCCTCTCTCTGATCCAGGCTACTCGCCCAACTGATGCCATGATGGGATACCCAGAATAGCTCCCTTGACTCTCCATCTCCCAGGCAGCTAGCTTTTTTAGAAGCTATTGCTGTCCCTTATCAGCAGGAGATGTCCATTGATCCTTAATGAACCTGGCCAGCCCCAGGATCACATTGGGAGCCTCCTAGACGTGGGCTGTCTTTCCTGGGGGACTCCCAGGCCCTCCTGGCTTTCTTGGGGCTCTCCTGAAGATACAAGGGTAACACCTGTTTTGGTGTCGTTCTTCTTGGACCTACGCACAATGGGACCCCCAGATTGAAGTCGAGTAGCCAAAATTAGATGGTTCTGGTTGAAGAGAAATTGAGGAGGTGGGAGGGAAACTACTGAACCTAGCCTGCTCTGTTACAGTTCAGCTGCTCAAGTCTACAGACCTGGGACGCTACAGCCTCCTGTACCTGAAGGAGATTGGCCATGGCTGGTTTGGGAAGGTGAGTTCCTTTGGTTCATGACTTTCTCTATCTTTTTCTTTTACCCCCTGCTCTGGCCCTCAGGACCCAATGTTTTCTAGAAGGAAGATGTAGTAACCTTAATGGTAGAGATTCGGGCATTTGACTTAGGATAGGGGTTAGATAATTCCTTAAGAACCCCATAGCATGCTTTGTCAAAGGATCTCAAAACATTTTCAGCCTATTTCCTCAGAGGTCCAGTACCTTCCCTCTAGATTTGGAGGTGAGAAAACAGGAAAGGGTGGGAGAATCTTACCCTAAGGTTCTGCAGTGAGTCAGTCGGCAGTGCAGCCCAGTTCCCTGCATGTCCACACACTAGGGCCTCTGTGCTGCCCCTAGTCCGAATTCTGACCCTGGGGATACTCAGCTTGGGGCCCCCTGAATTAGAGCTGCCCCTTACAGTGGGATCCTTAATACCCTGCTGTCTGTGCCTTTTACCCTTCTCTGGGGGACAGGTAGGTGGCCCCATCTTGCCAAGGCCCAAGAACCTGGCCTGGGCCTGGGACTACAGCTGGTGAAGGAGGTAATTCTGAGGGATGCAGGCGCTGGACTTTGCATAGGAGTCTCAGCACCGTGCGCCCCTGGCTCTCAGCTCTATCATTCAACTGCCTTTTCTTGCCTTCCTCTATTCCTCTTTGCCCCATAGACCTCAACTAAAATCTGTCTTCCCCACCCACCTTGCACTCCAGGGTTGAGAGGGGAATGCAGAAAAGTAGTTTGGGAAGGTGAGCTACCAATCCATTAGGGAGGGGTTGAAAGAAGAGTCCCCACCTGAAGTCCTATTGTGAAATGCATTGGAGTTCTCCCTAGAGTCCCTTGGTGGAGAGGACCCAGGGCAAAGCAAAGCTTGGTAGATGTTATGGTTTCAGGTAGGACAGGAGACAGAAAGAAGGCTTTCCTAGGAGGTCTGGGTAAGCTGAATAGGTGGCTACTCTACCAGGGGATCCATGTAAAAGAAGTCCCCAGACCTGGAGTGGGCCATCCCTTTTTACAGCCAGGACCTAGATGGTAGCTTCCAGCCAGACAGGGGTATTAACCAGAAGCCTGCTTGTGGGTAGGTAGGTAAGAAAGGAGCAGGGCAGTGGGTTCCCCGGGCTGCTGCTCTCTTTTACTCCGAGGCTTCTCTGCCCAGCAGGTGAGCCCCTCCTTCACGACAGGGCCAGTGTTAGGGGGACCTTTCAGTCAAGGGGTGGGAGGGGGTGTGGGTGGGTGACGACCCTGTTTCCTGCCCATGCAGGTATTCCTGGGTGAGGTCAATTCGGGCATCAGCAGCACCCAGGTGGTGGTAAAGGAGCTGAAGGTGAGCGCCAGTGTGCAGGACCAGATGCAGTTCCTCGAGGAGGCCCAGCCCTACCGGTAGGTGGAGGCAGCCGCACCCAGCTGGCAAGCCCCCTCGTTCACAACAAGGATGGTGTTGTGGGCTGTGCAGAGGGGGAGATGGTGGGGACCAGAACTGGGCTCAGAGCTGGCTTTGATCCTAGAAGAGAAAGGGAGTAGTGGTGGTATCAAAGCAGGGACCAGCGCCATCTGGTGGACAAAGAGAGTAATCTCAGGCCTGGCCTGAGAGTTGGGATGGGGCTTTTCCCTCCAGGCTGCCCCTCCCCCGCTGCAGTTGAGTCAATGTCTGCATGTGGGGACCTTGGTAACCTGAGGGCGCACAGTCTGGAGCACCCTTTCCCATTTGCTGCCCCAGTGGAGCTCATCCTTTCCCCACAGGGCTCTTCAGCACAGTAACCTGCTTCAGTGTCTGGCCCAGTGTGCAGAGGTGACACCGTACCTGCTAGTGATGGAGTTCTGTCCGCTGGTGAGTCAGGGGCTCGGGGCAGGGCGACGGGAGGAGGTCTTGTAGCTCCCTGCTCTGCCTCTCTTTCTCTAGGTCGGGGGCTCTTTACCTTTTTCATGGACCTCTTGGCAGTCTGGTGACGCCTGTGGACCCCTTCACAGAACAGTTTTTTTTTTTAAAAAACACAAAATAAAATACAGGGGAGTACAAAGAAAACCAATTCTATTCAAATACTGTTATTAGAAAAAAAAAATCAGTTCCCAGACCTCAGGTTAAGAACCATTGCTCTTTTTCTTGGGGTAAGACCCCCTCTTTGATCTTGTTCCTTGACTTGGGGCAGGACTAGGAACCACCAGATAAGACCAAAATGGTTGATGTCCAGTTCCACATGGGGGCTTAGTCCTGCAGATTCAGCTGGGGGACCAGTCCATCCTGGGACTTTCTTGGAGCAGATACTCCATTTACTGTATCTCTAAAAGGTCCAGAGAATTCTGGTTACATGGATTTGGATCTGTAAAACCAGCTAAAGTGATTTGAATCCTGAGAGGGCCTCACACCTGACCAGACATTCTCCATGATCATGATCAGTGGAAGCAGACCCACTGGGAAAGCTTGGGGTGGCACCAGTTGCAGCCTAAACCCTCCAACCCCAGCCAGAATTGCTCTGGCCATGCAGTGAGTGGCAGGGTTTCCCCACAGGTTCCTGGGAGCTTCTCTGTTATTGCTAGAGAATTTCTTTGGCCCTCTAACAAAACATCTGTGGTTTGGCTGCAGGAGATACCATCCCTCTTAAAGTACTCGAAGCCGTGTTTTAGTGATTTTCAGCCATGTGGGCCCTCCTCTCTCCTCATTATTTTTTAGTATCATAGCTTTGTAAATCAGAAGCAAACATTTACTATTTTATGAATGACTTATCAACTCAATTCACCTCCAACTGTTTATGCCAGCAACATAGGAACCAAAATTGATAGGATAGTCGTGTCCCCTGATTAAATTTGTATTTCTGAATATTGAATAGCAGATTAAATCTCTTCTAGTTTAACTTCAGTACAGGGCATTATCTGTATGCATATTGTCCACTTTGTAAAGTATCCACAGAAAAAGCTTAATCCAGAGGCAGCTGAGAGTCACAATAGATAAGACCTGAGCTCAAATCCAGCCTCACATTCCTACTCAATGACCTTAGGCAAGTTACTTAACCTGTCTCCCTCAGTAGCTCCATCTGTAAAATGGGGATTGTAATAGCACACCCAAGGATTATGGTGATGATCAAATAATATAATTTGCAAAGTGCTTTGCAAACCTTAAAGCATTAGCTATTATTATTATATAGCTCTTGATCTAGGCAGCTAGGTGTCACAGTGGATAGATGCCTAGCCTGAAGTCAGGAAGTCTCATCTTCCTGAGTTAAAATCTGGCCTCAGATATGTACTAGCTGTGTGACCCTGGGCAAGTCACATAACCCTGTTTGCCTCAGTTTCCTCACCTGTAAAATGAGCTGGAGAAGGAAATGGCAAACCGTTCCAATATTTTTGCTAAGAAAACCCCAAATGGGGTCACAAAGAGTTAGACAGTACCAAAATGACCAAACAACAATAAATTCTTGAACTATGACACCAAAGGGAGAAGGGGAAAAGTATTTCAGGCAGAGGGTAATGGAAGGGCCAAAAGTGTGCATGATATAATTGGTATATCATCTAGACCAAAGTGAAAAGTATGAATAAGACTTATAGGAAGTAAGGTCAGAGAAACAAGAAAGGTCTTGAAAGTTAGACTTGGGAGTTTAACCATTGTGAACAGTATTTCAGAAAAATAAGCAGACCAATGTGCAGAAGGAATTGAAGTGTTCAGAAATTAGAGGCAGGGAGAACAGGTGGAAAGCTATTACAGTAGTCTAAGCAAAAGACCTGGACCAAAGGCAGTGACAAGAGAGAGGAAAGGGAGAATCCCTAGTTTTTGGATTAGATACTGTTTGTACACACACTACTGTTCACTTCTACTACAATTTAAAAACAATTCTTGTTGGATTTTTTTTTGCTAAACTCTTGGGAAATCAGTAAAATCATATATGAAATTCTGTGACACACTTATAGGTAATAGGGAGTTGGACAAAGGCCTGTCCATTTTCTGCACGTAGCTGGAGAGGGTTTCTACTCCTTTCCATCCTAGGAATAAATCATCTCTGCTGCACCACAGGCTTCTTCAGTCTAGTGAGTTGCAACAAAAACTATTTTACCACAGGTTCATGGATATATTATCCAAGATTACTATGAACCATTATTAGTAGAAATTACCTATGTGATTGTAAGCTAAAGCAACTGATTTTTATGTGAAAATTTTTATATATATTTTTTAAATTACCTGTAAGACAACACCCATTCCTATTAAAAAAAAACCCACTAGAAAGCACAGGAATAAATGGAGCTTTCCTTAAAATGTTAAGTAGTATCTATCTAAAACCATCAGCAAGCATTATCTGTGATGAGGATAAAACTAGAAGCCTTCCCAATAAGATCAGGGTTGAAGCAAGGATGCCCATTATCACTACTATTATTCAGGAAATATTAGCTATAGCAATAAGAAAAAAAAAGAAATGGAAGGAATTAGAATAGGTAATGAGGAAACAAAACTATTGCTCTTTGCAGATGATATGGTGGTATACTTAAAGAATCCTAGAGGATCAACTCAAATTATATGTAAAAACAATTTTTAAACATTTTTTTAATTTTTGAGTTCCAAATTCTCTTCCTCTGTCCTATCCCCTCTCCGAGAGACAGCAGGAGATTAGATATAGATTATACATGTGCAGTCATATAAAACATATTCTTATATTGTTGTTCAGTCTTTTCAATCATGTTTGACTCTTTGCAACCCCATTTGGGGTTTTCTTGGCAAAGATACTTGAGTGATTTACTATTTCCTTCTCCAGTTCATTTTATAGATAAGGAAACTGAGACAAACAGGGTTAAGTGACTTGTTCAGAGTCACATGGCTAGTAAGTAAGTATCTGAGACGGGATTTGAACTCTGGAAGATGAATCTTCCTGACCCCAGGCCTGGCACTCTATCCACTGCGCCACCTAGCTGCCCCATTACCATATTAGCTATGTTGCAAAAGAAAACACAGAACCCCCCCCCAAAAAAACCCCAACCAAACAAGAAAAATAAAGAAAACATTTTTTTAAAAAAAGGTATGCTTCAATCTGTATTCAGACTCCATCTGTTCTTTCTCTGGAGATGGACAGCGTTTTTCATCATAAGTCCTTTGGAATTGTCTTGGATCGTGGTATTGCTGAGAATACCCAAGTCATTCACAGAAGCTGATTTTTACAGATTTTAACAAATATGCTGGATCTATCTAATCTTAACAAATACAGTATCTAAATGGGTGTCATCTTCTTTAAAGTAGTCACCGTCAGCCTTTACTCACTCATTTCCGAAATGCTGGCATTACTCAGTGCATTCTCAGAACCCTGGAGTCAGAAGACTTAGATCAAAATCCTGCTGACAGTTATTACTTACGCTACCTGGGGATAGTCACTTAACTTCCCTGGGCCTCAGTTTTCTCTTCTGTAAAATAAGAAGGTTGAACTAGGTGGCCTCAGAGGACTTTTCCATGACTGGGTCTCTGTGTTCCTATGATTTTCAGAGCAGATGTAATGAGTTACACAAGGAGCTCTGTCCCCCTGCTTCATAGTCTTGGATGCCAGGACTGGCTGGCCTTGGGTCCCAGAGATGTTAAGATTCTGAAATACTCAAACCTAGTATGTCACGGTCATGCCACAGGAACACGGTGCGTAATAGATTCTAAAACCAGGAGATTCATCTGAACTTGAAACTATCTTACTGTGATCTTTTAGTCTGAGATGCCTCAAATCAGATGCCCGGCCAGCCCATTTTCCATTTAGTTTAGTCTTATGTCTTGATCCCCCACAAAGTATAATAATAATAATAATAATAATGATGGTTGTTATTATTGTAAGCATTTATATAGAGCTTTACAAATATCTCATGTGAACCTCACAACTACTCTGTGAGGTAGGTGCTATTATTATCCTCCTTTTACAAATGAAGAAACTGAGGCCAAGCAAGGTTAAGTGAATTGCCCAGGGTCACATGGCTAGTATCTGAGGTGGAATTTTGAACTCAGGTCTTCCTGGTTCCAGGTCCAGGGCTCTAACCACCATGCCACATAGCTGCCTGTTTTCTTGCTTGACTTCCTTTCTTGGCCAAGATCCTTCCTCCAACTCAAGGAATTGTTTTGGTTTGTTTTTCCTCTTCTGGTCCCCAGCTCTTACTCTTGGTTTAGGCCTAGCCCTCTGCTCTGTTCTCCCTGCCTGTGTTATCGAAGGCTTTGTTCTGAGGTTTTTCTTCTTTGGAAGTAACTTTTTCTCCTAACTGCTTCCCACTTAAGCTGTCCCAGGATCCAGATTTTGTCTGTCTTAGAGGAACCAGAAGGGCATTTCTCGTTACCCCTTTAGCCCTTAGTAGCTTAGTGTATTGTACAATATTGTAACAATATTCTAATGTTGTCCTGGCCCAAAGGCAGCTTGTCAGGAGCTCTGTGCTCGCCCATGCTGGCTTGGCTAGCTGGGAATATAATTCTGGGGTCACTCTTTGGCAGGGAGACCTCAAGGGCTATCTGCGCAGCTGCCGGGTGGCAGAGTCCATGGTTCCGGATCCCCTGACTCTGCAGCGGATGGCTTGTGAGTTGGCATGTGGAGTCCTGCACTTACACAAGAACAACTATGTACACAGGTAAGCTGGAAACTGTTACCTTTCCATGGCTTTAGGTGAGGGGCTCACATTTCTAGGGCTGGTGGCGGCAGAAGTGGTAGAGGAGGGGAGGCAGGGGCATCAGAGTTCTATCCTGAGATAGTGGCTAGGTGAGCCTGCCTCTTCTTTCCTAGACTGGGGGGATTTGAATCTCCACTGTCTAACTAGAAAAGAGATTGGGGAACAAGGAACTACCCTCTGCCATTCATCTCCCCACCTGTGATGCCTGCCTTTCTCTGCCTTCCATTCCTTTCCAACACATTCTTTTCTTCCCTGCTCTATGGATTTGGGGAGAATTTGCCCTGGCTTTCACTAGGTCATACTTGATAGCCTGGGTCCGAGGTTCTTTGCCAAGCACAGGCTTCCCCTTCCCAGAGATTAGGTCCTCTGTGTTGGGTTAGTTTACCCCTTCTGGGATTTGTCTTCAGCCTGCTGAGAGAGCTGCTGGGTAGGAGCCACTGAGGTGAGATGTGCTGTTCTTTGTCTCCAGGACAGACTGGAGAAGGAACAAGGTGAAGAATGAAGGATTTAGGTTAGAGATAGGAAGGAAATTCCTACAGCACAAGTTATCCCCCCTTGGCTCCGGTGGGAAGCCGTGTGGATCCAGGTTCTCTAGGCCTTTAAAAGCAGGACTGAGTTCCATGTAGCTGGACACGTAGGAGGGGTTTTACCTCAAGGCTAAGAATCCTTTGAAGTCCCTAAAGTCAGCATTTAGAACTGAAGGGTGTCTAACAGAGTATTCTCCTTATTTTATAGATGAGGAAACAGGGCCAGAGGTGGGTAGTGACTTGCCCAGAGTCATACAAGGTAGTAAGTAATAGAGGCAGGATTTGAACCCAGGTCTTCTGACTCCAAATCCAGTGCTCTCTTCCACGATGCCATGCCCCTGCCTGCTTCCCTGCCCTGCCAGCTCGAAGATTCTCTGATTCTGATTCTTCCAGGATGCACGAGCGGCCATGGGGGCAGCCTCTCCCCCAAGCACCACTGCTCACCTTGGCCTTCCTCCCCAACAATATCCTGATGCTGAGTGAGCGGCACACAGAGACTCCAGCATCAGTGATTTTGTTGAAGAGGGTGGCTGCCAGCTTCTTCCCGACCTGCACTGCCCCCTCTCTCCTGAGGCCTGTCCTGGGAGCAGGAAGAGGAGTCCTGCTCTTGGATCCTGCCCCCACACTCAGGACATGCTGCTGCCTGGAACCCTGTAGCTTGCTTGGAGCATGGCGGCCTTGGAACGTCCCAGCTGGGAGCTGGCTCCACGCCCCTCTGCTCTCCCAACCGGCCACCAGCCCTGGACCCTTGCCCTTGAGCCATACGTCTCTTCTAGGTGCTCTAGTTTTGTCAGTGAAAAGCTCGGAGCCTCGGACCCAGACCACCATAGACATTCCTTTGTACACAAACTGATTTTGGCCAAGGGCACCGGGGGGAGCCCACCTCATTCTTAACAGTAATCTCAGCCTCCTCTCCCACAGGTTCTTTTCATAAGAGAGTAAACTGAATTTTAAATTCATTTATTTTCTTTCTTCCTTCCTTCCTTCCTTTCCATTTTGCTCAAATAAATGAACAGTGCCATGGCCTAAAGGCAGGCAGAGACCAGGTACAGCTGAGCAGGCCACAAGGCCTGAATAATGGGAATCAGTGGATGCTGAATGTTTCATTTGGCATTTGCTCTCTTCCTCCTCCCCTTTCTCCTCCTCCTTTTCCCCCCCTTCCTCTTCCTCCCCCCCTCCTCCTTCTCATTATCTTCTTCCTCTCCCCCCCTCCTCAAAATATCCTTTTCCCATTTTCTGCTGTGGAGCCATCTTGTATGTATTTTCAGGACAGCCTGAAAAAAAAACAAACCACTGATTGGGCTGCCCCAGAGCTAGGTCCCTGCTTCTGTTCCCTAGGGCATTGCTTCCCTATCCCACTTCTGGCTGTAGGCAGGGTGGTCTGCTGGAAATAGCCCTAGAGTCTGAAATCCCAGGTGCTGTTCCCAGCTCTGTCCTTGACTTGTTTTGTGACCTCACTAGGTGAGGGCTTAACCTCTTCATGCCTCATTTTTCCCATCTACAAAATGGAGATAGTTATCTTTGTTATCCCAGGGAAGTTGTAGGGGGATGGGGATATAAATGAGATATGTGCTCTAGAAAAAGAAAATACTGTGTAAATAGGAATTATTCTTCTTGTAGGGGGCACTCAGATTGCTGCTTTCTCTCTTCCCCCTCCCTCACCTCTCTAACCCTCGCTTCTGTCTTGGTTTCTTTTCTTTATATTGCTGGTTACTCAGCAAATTTGGGATGCTGTCAGAGATAAGGAGGAAGAGAGGGAGCATATGTATGAGGTAGAGGTGTTTGTGACCAGCACAAGGGAGGAAGTGGGTCCCATTGCTGGGACTGGGGCTCCTGCACCAACCAAAGGGAAAATCCTTCCTGGATACCAGGCATCTTTCAGGAGCCATAGCCTGGCCACAGGGCAGGCTGGGGATGGGAGCAGGGGAGGGAGATCTAAGCTAATGGCCCACCACATGATCAGCCATGGGGACAATTAATATTGGTTGTATTATTTTGCATTTAAATGTCTACATGAGAATGAAAAGTCACCCATGCTCTGTTCTCTCCTCTCCTCAATTCTGCTTTCTCCATCTTTTGTTATGAATGAAAATAATGATAATAATAATAGTAATAAAAATAGTATTTTAGTTAGTATTTGTATAATTCTTTAAGATTTATAAAGTACTGTACATATGTTATTTCATCTGATCCTCACAACAACCCTTTGCAGAAAGTAGTTTTATCTCCATTTTACAGATGAGAAAACTGAGGCTGAGAGGGACTTGCCCAGGATCCCACAGCTAGTAAATGTCTGAGGCAGGATTTAAATTCAGGTCTCCTGACTCCAGATTCAGCACTGTGACCCCTATACCACCTAGCGGCTTACATCTAAAGTCACTCTGTGTGTGAGGACAGCCTGGGAAAACTCCCAGTGGTGGAATTTCTTTTTGAGTACCAGCAAGCTGGTGCTGCTTCCAAAGATCCGGGCATCTCATATACATCTCAGTTCAGCAAACAAGCAATTAATGCCTCTCTTTTCCTTGCTGGGTGACCAGTTTTGCTTGTTTGGGAAACACCCTCGTGTGTTCCACATCACCCCCAGCTTCTTCAGCCCAGATTTGAGTCTGCCATTTGAGTCCTCATTTCCTGACTCCTGGTCTGACGCTGTCCCTCTCTCTCCCCAAATTTCCCTTATCTAGTGACCTAGCCTTGAGGAACTGCTTACTTACTGCAGACCTGACTGTGAAAATTGGGGACTACGGCCTATCTCACTGCAAGTACAAAGTAAGTCCATGTGGGTTTGGGGAGACACTAGGGTGCACCCCAGCCCCCTCCCCCATGCATACCCTTTAGCACTGTTTTATGATGATTCCCAATAGAATATTCAATGCATTGGGTCAGGCAGGATTCTCCCCCTTCCCTCAAGGTGGGTTGGGTCATGGGGCATGTGCGGGGGAGGAGGGCTGTGTTGCTTCCACATGGAGTTTGACATTCTCTCCTCGTGCTGACCGTGCATGCTTGGCAGGATGACTATTTTGTGACGGCCGACCAGCTGTGGGTGCCACTGCGCTGGATTGCCCCTGAACTCATTGACGAGGTGCACAGCAACCTCCTCGTCGTGGACCAGACCAAGGCCAGCAATGTCTGGTGAGGGGGGTGGAGGGAGGGGAGGGAGCACAGGGTGGCAATGGGAGCTGACCTCCTTCCCTCCAACCATAGGAACAATGGCTTCATACAGGACCTTAGGGAGCTCAGCAATACTAAACTGGGAGTCAAGAGACCTGGACCCCCTTTATGACCTTGTCACTTTGACACCTCTAGGCTTCGTTTTCCTCCACTGTAAAGCAATGAAGTTAAACTAGACGGTGTCATAGGTTCTTTGCAGCCAAATGTCCCCCTTTTCCATTCAGATTAGGAAAGAAAAAAGACAGGGCTGTCCTTTGACTGCTTGGGTTTGGGGTTTTCCTTTCCCTTCAAAATCCCACTCACACACATTTCTGTACTCTGGGATTGAACTGTGCAAGTACATTATCTTTGAAGAGGTTAGAAAGGAGACTCTACCTGCTACCATCATTACTTCCCCCTAGATTCCAAGGTACACCTTGTGTTCTTTTGCATGTGAATGTATCTGTCTGCACAAGTGTGTGTGTGTGTATATGTGTGTGCATGCGGGGGCAGTCTATGTACATAGTATATATTCATGCAAATATGTGATACCATTTGCAGTTAATATAGGTTATATGCATATTTTGACCAAAGACTAAGCAGATAGTAAGCATATTCTTAAAGTATAGTTCTGTTTTCACTTATATTTTCAAAGCTAGTTAGACATCTAAAAGTTAGACATCTTTTAAGAACATTCAGAAACGAATACAATGATCACTATGAACCAGTACAGGTTTGCTAAGAAGAAGTCATGCCTAGCTAACCCCATAGCCTTTTTTCAGACAGAGTTGCTAGTGTGGCAGCTCAGGGAAACACCATATATAAAAATAATGTAGCTTAATTTTAGCAAATCATTGCACAAAAGTCTCCTTGGCATCAATAGAACAAGCTGATAAAATACAGGCAAAATGAGCAGTTGGATACAATTGATTAGAGCTGTATATGAGATAACATATCAGTCAAGTAACACATATTTATTAAGTGGTGCTGGTCATAAAGAATGAAACAACCCCTGCTTGCAAGGAGCACAAATAAATGTGTAAATATATACAGAATAAATAAAAAGTGAATAAATATAGATACAGGGTAGTTTGGGAGGGAGGGCATTAACAATTGTGGGGTGGGTAACCAGGAACAGCTTCATGCAAAAAAATGGCTCTTGAATGGCAACCTAAAGAAAGAGAGGCAGGGGTGAGGAGGGAGGGCATTCCAGGCATGTGGGAAGGCATGGAGACAGGAGATGAAGCGTTGTGTGGGACAGAAAGAAGAGCAGTTTGGTTGAGTCAGCGAATACAGCAGGGGGAGTAATGTCCACTGAATCTGAAAAGAGAGTTTGGGATCAGGTGGCAAAAGGCTTTCAAAGCTAAACATAATTCTTTTCCTTGTTTATTTCCAGAGCATGGCTAATACCAAAAAAAAAAAAAAGTTAAATATAAGAGCTTATATTTTATCTTCAAGGCAATAAGAAGCCAGTGGAGTTGATTGAATATGGGAGTCACATGGTCACATCTACACCTAAGAAAAATGACTTTTGCAGCAGTGTGGGGGATGGGCTGGGAGTGGGGAGAGGCTTGAGGCCAGGAGACTGATGAGGAAGCTATAGGTGATGGAGGCAGGAGGTAATGAGGGCCTGACCTCAGGTGGAAGCTGGGGGAGGGGGGTATTCTGTAGGCATAAACTGCTGGGTAAATATGTTGTGTTTTAGATTGGTAGTTCCAAACTTTTGGGTCTTGGAAGTCCTTTACACTCTTAAATATTATTGAATACCTCCCCGGGACCTTTTGGTTATATGGATTATATATGTCAGTATTTGCCATATTTGAAATGAAAACATCTCAGTATTTTTATGAAAACAGTTTTGAATGAAATCAGAAATGAAAACATCTTAGTATTTGAAGAAATGAAAACATCTTATTTTATGAAAATAATTTCTAATTAAATTAGAAATGAAAACATCTTAGTATTTTTATGAAAATAGTTTGGAATTAAAGTAGAAATGAAAACATCTTAATATTTTTATGAAAATAGTTTTGACCTCATGGACCCCCTGAAAGCAGTTACTAGATCACCCTTTGAGAATTGCTGTTTTAGAATATGTGTCAACCTAGAAGGCTGTCATTAGTGAAGTGCCACAAGTCTCTGTTTTTAGTTCTATTCTGTTTAGAGCTTCTCTAATTATGGATGAAGAAATGATATTTAATAGTCATTAATGAAGATATTGAAAAGATGCTTATCAGACATAGAGATGACGCAAAGAAGGGAGACCAGCTAATATGAGAGATGACAGAATCAAGATTCAAAATTATTATCATCACCGATATTATCTCACTAGGCTTACACGCTGGCTGGCTCAAAGCCAACAACATGAAATTTATCAGAGAAAAGTATAAAGTGAATGTGTGGGTTAAAAAATTCACTTGCACAAATACAGGATGGAATGGATGTGATTAGCATCAAACTTGTGTGTGAGCAGTTCTGGAGATATTTGTTAGCCACAAGCTTAATGTGAGGCAATAATAGTTGCTTTGAAAAAAAAAACTCATGCAAATTTAGGAAATGTTAATAGAAGCTTAGAATTTAAATCACCAGAAGTATTTGTCCCACTATAACTGAGTTCAAATCCGGCCTCAGACACTTACTAGCTGTGTATCCTTGGGCAAGTTGCTTTTACCTCTGTTTGCTTCAGTTTCCTCTTCTGTAAAATGGGGGTAATAATAGCACCTACCTCCCATGTATCCCAAATGAGATAAGCGTGGCATAAATGTTAACTGATATTATTATTGTCCACTTCAAATTGCTTTCCAGAATGATTGGACCAAGTCATGGTTCCACCAACAGTATATTAATAATGGAGTGCCATATTAGTAGTGTATTTGAATTAGGACACCACATTTTGAGAGGGAAATGGACAACCTAAAGTGTATCCAGGGGAAGGGAGACCAGGACAGTGAAGAGTCAAGCAACCATGTCATCAGAATCTGTTCTGTTATCTACTTAGCTATTTGCTATGTGTGTTCTTTATGGAATCTGCATTTGGTGAGAAGGGAGCCAAGCTTTGGACATATAGTTTGGGATGCTCCTTCCCATAAGGGATAGCAATCAGGTAATCTGCTTGAGCCTAAAAAAGCATTTCCCCTAGATTAACAATATTTGAGAGGAGAATGAAGAGATAAAATTCTAGCTTAGTCCTCCCTTCCCTCTGAGGAGAGCAAAGTAGCCAACCTCTGGTACCAATTTCCTGCTTTTTCTCCTGGAAAGCATAAAAGTCTCCCTTGGAAAAGGGTATGGAGAGGAGAATATAGATGTATTTATTCATGCCCCTATGATAGCCACATCTAGACAAACCCATGTGGACAGACATAGCCATCATCGTCTTCATCTTCATCATCTTCATCATCTTCATCTTAATCCTGATAGCTAGCTATCACTTTCAGACTTACAAAGTCCTTTATGGGTATTATCTCATTTTATCCTCACAACAACCATGGAAGGTAGGTGCTGTTATAAACCCCATGTTGCAGGTGAGGAAACTGAGGCAGACAGAGGTTAAGTGACTTGCCCAGGGTTATACAGCTAATAAGTGTCTGAGACCAGATTTGAACTCAAGTCCTCTAGATTCCAGGCTCGGTATTCTATCCATTACACCACCTAGATGGCCAGCACCTCAAAATCAACATATCCAGAAATAGAGTCAACATTTCCCCCCAAAAATGGCCTTTGTCTTCTGAATCATTTGTCATCTCTGACTTTTCCCTTTCCCTGGCCCCACACGTTTAGTGATTTGCCAAGTCCTGTCAGTTTTATCCACACAATAATTCTCACCTCCTGTGACTTTCCACTTGTCGAGCCTCCAGTATAGTTCAGGATTATTGTCAATCAATTAATAAACAATCTATCAATAAACATTTATTAAGTGCCTACGGTGTGCCAGGCACTGTAATAACTTCCTACCTTTTCTTCTTTCTCTCAGTTGACATTTCTTCTTTCTCATTCATCAACAATGCAGATGATAGCCCTTATTTCCCTATTCCCTATCATCCCTATTCCCCTCAATTTACTTTATATTCTTGTCAAACTTATCTACTAGCTGTTCCCCAGTCTGCTTCTATATCTCCTTTTCATTGCAATTTTCTTGGGCTCTTCCCTGATGCCTCCTTTGCATTCCCACCACATCTCTAGCTATCAGTATGACACAGTAGAAAGCTTTGGATTTGGAGTCAGAAGACCTTGGGTTCAAATCCTAGTTCTTCCATTTACTACCTGGGTGATTTTGGACAAGCCTCTGGGCCTCAGTTTCCTCTTCTGTAAAATGAGGCCCTTGAACTAGATAATCTCTCAGGGTAGGGAGAGATCTAAATAGATCATAGATAATAAATCTTTGATCTTAAGAGTTGAAGTCTTCCTTCAAAGCCCAATTTGGGTACCACCTCCTCTATGAAGCCTTCCTTGGTCTTTCCTCCTACTTCCCAGCTAAAAGTAATCCCTCCCTCAAATTAAGGACACCTCTATTGACTTTATCATATTTTTTGTTATTCAGTTGTTTCAGTCGTCTCTGACTCTTCATGACCCCATTTTCTGTTTTTGTTGGCAAAGATATGAGGTAGTTTGCCATTTCCTTCAGCTCGTTTTACAAATGAGGAAACTGAGGAAAATCAAGGTTAAGTGACTTGACCAGGGTCACACAGTAAGCATCTGAGGCCGGATTTGAATTCAGGTCTTCCTGACTTCAGGCCTGGCATTCTGTCCACTGTGCCACCTACGTATCACATTTTGCTTTTTATCCTATTTATTTGGGTGTCTGTTGTATCTTCCTTGTTAAGAGTATAAGCTCCCTAAGGTAGTTTAAAAGGACTGTCATTTTTCATCTTGTGTCCCCAGTGCTGACAAAATGCCATGCACAGAGTAGATGCTTAATAAATGTTGAACTGAACAATTGAAGAGGGACTAGGCATTTTCTGTTTTGCTCCATGACATAGAATAAGGAGTAATGTAGGAACATTATATAAGAAGAAGGGAGGTTTGGGAATAACATAAGAAAGAATTTAGAAACCCTTAGATCTCTCAAGCAATGGAGCAGTCAGTATGAGTCATGAGGAGGTACACCTCTGTTCCTTCAAGGGTTCAAGCAGATATTGGATGCTCATCTATGGGGGATGCTAAAGATAGCGTTTCTGCAATAGGTATGGTCAGGCTAAATGACCTCTAGAACCCATTCTAACCCTAAGCTTCCATTACTCCATGACCCTTTAAGCATAATGATTTGCTTATTAAAAATTACAGCTAATGCCTTGACCACAGAGAGGAAGCACAGCATAGGTGAAAGGGCCCCGAAGCCTGAGTTTTTGTCCTAGTTCTGCTCTCAAGTGGTTGTGTGACCTAGGACAAGGCATTTCCTTGGGGCCCCCAAGTTCCCATAACTTCATGTGATCGTAGGATTTATGTCAAGAGGGAATCATCTTAGAGACAGACCATTGAGTCCTGGGTACCCCTACATCCCTTCCCGTTGGAACATTCTATGTCTTGAAATGATTACCTAGGTGGGGTTCTCTGAAATGAGGGTGGGCCTTGGAGTCAGGAAGACCCGAGTTCCAGTCCCACCTTAGATACTTCCTTACTGCATGTGTGACCCTGGGCAAGTCACTGAACCTCTGTTTGCCTCAGTTTCCCATCTGTAAAACGGGGAGAATAATAACACCTAGCCCCCCGGCTTGTTGTGAGGATCAGATGAGATAATAACTCTGAAGCGCTTAGTACAGTGTCTAGAACAGGGGTGGGGAACCTGCGGTCTCGGGGTCACATGTAGCCCTCTAGGTCCTCAAGTGCGGTCCTTTTAATCCAAACTTCACAGAACAAATTCCCTTAATAAAAGGATTTGTTCTGTGAACTTGTGAACTTGAACTCAGTCAAAAGGCTGCACTCAAGGACCTAGAAGGCTACATGTGGCCTCAAGGCCACAGATTCCCCACCCCTGGCCTAGAACATAAGTGCTATATAAATGTTAGTGATGATGGTGAGGATGTGAGACTCAGGGCAAGGCATTAGCTTTGTCTGCCTCACTTTCTTCATTTTTAAAATGGGAATAATAATACCACCCACCTCCCAGGGTTATTGTGAGGATCAAATGAGATAATATTTGTAAAGTGCTTTGCAAACCCTGTATAGCACTATATAAGTGCTAGCTATTTTTTTTTAAGACTTTTTTCTTCCATAGCCTTAATCAGGGCAGAATTTTTTACTCAAATCAGGATATCACTTAGCCTGTTCAGTAAAAGTAGAAACAGAGCTGTGTTTCAGAGTTTGCTAATTGCTTTTTTGTTATTCTTGCCTGTGAACTGAGTGGTTTGTGGCCTCACTGGCTGCCTCCTTCCACCCCCTGCAGGTCGCTGGGCGTGACAATCTGGGAGCTGTTTGAGCTGGGTGCCCAGCCTTACCACCACTACTCTGACCGCCAGGTGCTTACCTACGCCATCAAAGAGCAGCAACTCAAGTTACCAAAGCCCCAGCTGAAGCTGTCACTGTCAGACCGCTGGTAAGGAGATACACATGGCTTTCCTTTCCTCCTCTTCCTCATCCCGCTCCCTAAATACCCTCCAGAAGTGGGCCCTCTGAAGGCTTATCTTCTGGGATTTCCCATGTACCACAGCCTGAGCCATTGGTGACTCAGCCCTAATTTTCAGCTTCCCCCAGGATCAGTTGCCCTAGGAGACTTCACTCAGAGAAAGACGGGCTTTAAGGTACTTCCAGCAGGGGTGACAAAGTCCGGCACCTGGTTTTAGTTCTCTAGCCATGTGGCCTTGGGCAAGTTGCTTTACCTCTCTGGTCCTTAGTTTCCTCATTTGTAATGTAAGGGGTCCCTTCCGGGTCGAGCTCTGCTGTCTCTATGATCTCTATGCCAGATGACTTTTACGGTGCCCTCCATCTCTGGCATCCTATGTCTCCATGATTCTTTGTTTGGAGTGTACCAGGTGTAGTGTCTGATGCTAAAGAGCTTGGTGAATGGGGTGGAATACAAGGATTCAGAAGAATGGCATTCCAGCACAGAGTCGAAGGGGAGAGACCGTATACCCCTCCCTTCCACACACACATGTGTAGGCATGCTCTAAATATATGATACATACAGTAGAAATATAGCATAGGCTGCCTGGGAGGGCTGAGGGGATGAGTAGTGCAATGGTTAAAGTCAAATTGTGCAGTCAAGGACAGGTTATTCCAGTCGGTAAATTTCCAGTTGGAAGCAGTGGCCACAGTGGTTTACTGTCACCCTGTGTGGAAGTGAGGAGGCTTGGGAGGCGGGAGGGTGAGGCCGGAGCAAGCTAGGACAGGGACAGACCTAAGCACCCCATCTCTACCCTGGGTTTGGCAGGTATGAGGTCATGCAGTTCTGCTGGCTGCAGCCCGAGCAGCGGCCCACAGCAGAGGAGGTGCACCTGCTGCTGTCCTACCTATGTGCCAAGGGGACCACGGAAGCCGAGGAAGATTTTGAGAAGCGATGGAAATCCCTGAAGCCCGGCGGGACCAGTGGAGCCAACCACTTGGGGAGTACAGCTGAGCTGTCCTCCAGCTTCCCACTCCTGGAGCAGTTCTCGGGGGACGGCTTCCATTCGGATGGGGATGACATCTTGACGGTGATGGAGACCAGCCATGGGCTCAACTTTGAGTACAAATGGGAACCCAGCCGAGCTGAGGCCTTCCAGACTCCTGCAGGGACCCTCAGCCCCCGCCATGCTGCTCACTACCAGGACCTCTACTACCCAACTAGCTCCTCCACCAGCCACCTGAGCCTGGGGGTTTCACCTTCCTGCTATGAGTGTCCGCCGCCTGGGGTGGTGCCCATCCTCAGTGCTCACAGCCCTTCCGTGAGCAGTGAGTACTATATTCGCATCGAAGAACCAGCTGACTGTGATCTAGACTTCACCATGTGTTCCTCTAGCCCTGAGTGCCAGCAGGCATCTCCTGAGGCAGCCACCCCTTGGCATGACAAAGAAGAACCCGTGGGGGGTACCTATGACTCAGACAGCAGCCCTACTGTATCACTGACTATGGAGCCGCTCCTGGGGCAAGGACCCAGTGGGGAGGGGCCCTGGGATCACCCTGACTACTACTCCCATATGAGCTGTAGCAAAGACTCGCTCTGTTACCAGCCTTCCCCTGCAGGGGACTCACGGACCGAAGACAGTTTGTTGGGGGAATGCAGGGAGGGAGCCGACAAAGACTGGGGCCTGCCAGGCTTCCACCAGGCTTTTTTTGAGGACCCACTGGGAGTGTCCCCCTCAGGGAATTCTGTGACTCAGGAGTCACCAGGTGGGGCTCAGGAGGCAGTGGTGGGAGAATCAATGAAACAGGAGGCACTGGGTAGCCCTCCTGAATCAGTGACGATAGAGTTGGGTGAACGGGAGAGTCAGCCCTGCAGCGGCTCCCAACATGAGGGTGCTGAGGAGGCAAGCTTGGCTGCCCAGCAAAGACACTGGACCTCAAATGTGTCTGCCAACAACAACATCAATAGCAGCTGTGCCCCCGATTCCTGGGCTGCTCACTTTGTAGACTCCTACTTGGGATCAGGAGAGAACCTAGGTACAGGACCTGATCCATGTGAGTTGCCTGCCCCAGACTGCCTACCAGACCTGCCCCTTCCTGAGGGTGAGGGGTTGGAGATGGCTTTCCCTGGGCAGGAGCTGGGGAGCCCGCCTAGCTTTGCTGAACACTTTCAGGTGGAGGAGGACCCAGCCCCAGTTGCCATCTCTCCCTCACAGATGATAGACATAGAAACTGCAGAGAGAAGGGGTGTGGATGATGGGGCTGATCAGAAAGCCACGGAGGAAGCCGTGGCCCCTTCCAGTTCTCCAGCTCTGTCTCCCTTGCCCTCTCCACCCCAAGGCAGAACCCCGCTTCTCTCCAGGGCAGCCAGCAATCTTGTCCTTGTTCCTAAGCCAGATTCCCCTGTGCCATGGGACAGTAGCCAGAGTATCAGCAATGAGCCAGACCAGACACTGGACAGCAGCGGTAGCTTCCCAGAGCTAGAAGGGCCAGGTAGCGAGGATGAAGACACGACCGAGGCCACCTCTGGTGTCTTCACGGACTTTTCCAATGACTTCCTTATCGAGAAGCCTGACACAACCCCCGCATTCCGGTGCCTGCAGAAGCAGGTGGGAACGCCAGATTCCCTGGAGTCACTGGATATCCCATCCACGGCCAGTGATGGTGGGGAGATATATAGCCCGACGGTGTCCTACCCTACCACTGGGCAGCCTCGGGCCCTAGACAGTGGCTATGACACAGAGAATTATGAGTCACCTGAGTTTGTGCTAAAAGAACCCCATGAGCCCCGGGACTCCGAGGACTTTGGGCCCCTAGGAAAGGAGGATGAGAGCCCTGGCTTAGAGATGCGGCTTTCTTCTTCTATCAGTGCTGAGCTGCATAGTCTGAGTGAGAAAAACCCCTACCGAGACTCAGCCTACTTCTCTGACTATGACACAGAGACAGAGCGGCCTGCCCAGGGTAGGGAGGAGGATGAGGACAGTGAGGCTGGGGAAGGAGAGTCCAGCCCGGTGGGCCCAGAGACCCAAGGGCTCTCTCCCAACAACCAGGAAATACCAACAACAAAGGAAGCAGGTGCTCAGCTTCCTCACTCACCTTCTGGGGAGCCCCCTCCAGAGGTGATAGTCAGCCCAGCCATCAAAGGGCAAGACCAGGAGAGCCCCAAGGACCCAGCAGAAGGGTTGGCCCCTGCCCCCATCCCTGCCCCCACTCCCACTGCCCCCGCCCCTGCCCCAGCTCCTGCCCCATCCAAATTATTCTTCCTGACTCCTGTCCTGTCAAGTCCAGAGGACAGTGGGGTTGAGGAAGGCTGCCACAAACCCCAGGAGGCCCCAGGCCTGTTCTCCACCTTGGCGGACAAAGGAACTTGGGACCTGGTTCCTGGGGCAGAGGTGCAAGAATGGAAAGAAGCCACGGCCTGCGAGATCACCCCGGGTCCCAAAGTGAAGCCCGGGGAGAAGCCGGCCCCACGTCCAACCCCTTTGCGCCTGGACTTGTCGGACCTTCCGGCACCCAAGGAGAGCCGGCCAGCGGAAGAGGAGGAGGAAGAGGACTCAGAGGAGAGCGATGAGTCCGACGAGGAGCTATGCTGCTACAACATCCAGGAGCAGAGTGAGGAGAGCGAAGAGGAACCAGCCGCGGTGCCCATCGTGGTGGCAGAGAGCCACAGTGCCCGCAACCTGCGCAGCCTCCTCAAGATGCCCAGCCTCATGTCCCAGTCCTTCTGTGAGGACCTGGACCGCAAGAAAAAGGCTGTTTCATTTTTTGATGATGTTACTGTCTACCTCTTCGATCAGGTAAGCCCTGTGCCTCGGGGAGTGGCCCTTAGGACTTCTGGGCGGGGGAGGGAGAGATGGTTCTGTGTCCTTGCTACAGAGACATCGGATCGGTAAAGAAAGAAGGGCTTTGTCTCCGACACCTCTGGGTGAGACGGAGTAAAAGCTCTTCCATACCTTCAACCCAATGCCAGAAATCCAGATCATGGATTGGAGAGAGTACGGCGGGATGCCTCTGATTTGCCAGAGTTGGGCATTATCTATTTCCCCCCTTGAGGTTTCTGGGTAATTGTCCCACTTCTCCCTCCTTTCCAGGCCCTCAAGAGTTTGGGTGGGATAGAAGAAGTAGTTGCCCTGATGGAAAGTGATACCCAGCCAAGGCGGGCGTCTCACACTTGTGCCACTTCTGTTCTTTACTGACACCCAGGAAAGCCCCACAAGAGAACTTGGGGAGCAGCACTTCCCTGAGATGAAGGATGCAGCTTCCTCCTTCCTGCCAAGCAGCCCCAGTACCCTGAGCCCATCTGACCCACTCAGAGCAGCAGACAACTTCTCTGACAGGACGGTCTCTGAAGAGAGTGAGTGTGGTAGGGTGGGCAGGCGGGCTGGGCTGGTCTGGGAAGGGACAGTGTGGGGCTTTGTAGGTTTTCCCCATCTTCCACAGGAAACCTTACGTTCCCAAAGTAGCCCTTCACCTATTTTCAGGTGGTATGACCCTCCTTTATCAGGCCAGGCAACCTTACCAACTCTCACCCTTTGGGGTGATGATTTCATCTTACCCTTACTATTCCCAGGTAACCTCTTTTGCCTATCTTTGTTCCCCTTTGTGGCCCTTTAGGCTCCCATTGCTCCTGCCCATGATGGCACCTACACTACAGCCCCCTGATTCCAACTGTCTCTGCTTCTGAGTGTCATTTTTTTTTTAAATTGTGGCCTCTCTTTTCTGAGGAACCACATAAATCCATCAGAGAGAAAGAAGATTCAGACTTCAGGTCTAAGGGGTGATGAGATTGCCTTGAGTAACTTCTCAGGGTATCCGAGGTGTTGGGGAAGAGAAGGCTAGAGAGGTGGGCCTCCTGGGCCTCCTCCACAGCAGGCCTCTTTACACTTTCTTTGTTCTTTCTTTCCCTTCCCCTACCCCAGGACCAGGGAGTTCACTAGGGAGACCTGGGTATTTGGGGGGAAAAGGGTGAGTGACGGGGCCTTCATTACAGGTGGTGGGTTCGAGTGGGATGATGACTTCCCACTAATGCCAGCCAAGTCATCTTTTGTGTCTTCACCGGGGCCTGGAGTGCCGGACCCCATGCTGCCCAACCTGGCGACCCCACCGAAGCAGGTGCTGCCTGTCCAGTTTTCCCGCTTCACTGTGTCTCCTAGCCCCGTCTCCCGATTCTCCATCACGCACGTATCTGACTCGGACATCGAGTCTGTAGGAGGTAAGGGACTACGGCTGGGGGTGAGGGTGTAGCAGGGAAGAAAACAGGGAAAATGTACTACCAAGGATGGATCTGGGATGTGTAAAAACCACAGGGCAGGGGTCATAGGAGGATCAGTGTAGAGCTGGGAGGGACCTAAGGAGTTATCTGAGCCAATCATCTTATTTTAAAGTTGAGGACAATAAGGAGGTCCAGGGAAATTAAGAGTTTAACCCAGGGCAACCAAGTGGTGAGTGGAAGAACTAAGATTTGAACTTGGGCCCTCCAGTTCCAAGGCCAAGGCTTCTTTCCACTGTATCATGTTATCCTCATTTTTTTTTTTGAGGTAGTCGGGGTGAAGTGACGTGCCAAGGGTCACACAGCTAGTAAGTGAGGCTGGATTTGAACTCCAGTCCTCCTGACTCCAGGGCCAGTGCTGCCACATTATCCTTATTTAAAAAAAAATGTTTTCAGTTACTGAAAATCCACCTTCTCTCCTTCTCATTTTCCCACCTTCCCAGTTGGAAAAAGGAAAGAAAAACAGAACCACTGTAACAAATATGCAGGGTCAAGCAAAACAAATTCTCCTTTTGACTGCATCCCCCAAAAATTGCCTCAGTCTGTTCCCTGAGTCCAACCCCATTCTGTCAGGAAGTGCTATCCTCATTTTAATGGAGATTTAAGAGTTACAGAATGCTTGCATCACAACAAAGCAAGATGATGCAAGTGTTAGTCTTCTGATTTTACTGAGGAGGAAACTGAGGTGCAAACATGTGACGTATCAGATCATTCAGCTACTAAAGGTCAGATGTAGGATTTGAACCCGTCTTCCTGATTCCAATCCAGCCTTCTTTGTACTGCTCTGCTCTGCCTTGACTTGAGATTACACATTTGCTTATGTGCCTTTAGGGTAGGGACTGTGCCTCATATGTAGTTACTTGTCTGAAGGAGGGCCCCCAGGAAGGTAAATGGCTTTGAATTCACCCTGCGTCTTCTGGAGGATCTGTGACATGGGTGAGGGAGATTGACATAGTCTGCATTAGCACCCAAGAACAAAACTGAGACCAACGTAGGGGGGAAGGGGGTGTACAGAGAGGTAGATTCTGGTTCAGAGTAGAAGAAAGAACCTTGATGGTTATAGCAGACCAACAATGCCTTATGTGGCAGTGAGGGCTCCCCAGCGTTGGATGTATGTAAGCTAGGCTAAGGGACTAGGCTGCCATAGAGGGAATGCTGGACCAGATGACCTCTAGTGGACCCTTTCAAGACCCTTGGATTTTATAACACCATGGTCCCAAGTATGGTTCTGATTGCCTTCCAACTCAAAGAAGCCAGCCTGGGAAAATATCCAGGGATAGAGAAGCAGCTTGAGCCTACTTTGGGAGTAGGGTCAATAGTCAATAAACATTTATGAAACACCTACTGTGTGCTGGTCCTAAGCTCTGGAGGCATTGTGCCAAGCATCCAGTGCTGGAGCAGGAGTCCAGGTGTCCTAATGTACCTGCCCCCTGAATCCTTCCTGTCTCCTCTGAGGACCCAGAGATGCCTTCTCCTCTCGCCTCTCCCCAAGTTGTTAGGACCTGATCTCCCCGCCTTGGCCTCATAGTGATCTGTTCCCCTCTGCTCCCACCCCAGGCCTCATCCCTGGCCATGTCTCTTTCAAGAAAGCCCACGGATGACTCTCTAATCTCTGAGGGAAGCAAAGCTATTCCTTAGGATAAGGGTTGAGGGTTCCTGAGCCAAAGTGGAGATCAGTACAGAGTATAGAGAAGAGAGCACCTCATTAGCTGTGTGACTGTGGGTAAGCCAGATCCCCTCTCTGGATCTCATTTTCCTCATTTGCAAAATGGAGAGTTGGACTAGATCATCTTTGCCTATTAGCCTTACCGTGCTAATCTTAAATAGTTGTGTGTACATGAAGAACATTGGATATGGACCCAGAAGACTTGGGTTTGGATCCCAGCTCTGCTAGTGGTCTATGTGACTTTGGGAAGGTCATTTGTCTCTAGGCTCCAATTTTCATCTCTGGAAGGGATTACACTGAGTGACTGTAGCTCAAAATCCTATGGTCCTCTGAGCAGGAGCTGGGGAGGTTATGAGCTAGGGAAAGGACCCCGCCGCTGAAGCATCTGCTCTTCAGAAGCATATGGTCTAGATGAGTAAATGGAATACCCTCATCCCATGGTGACAGAGCCACATGCTGGCAAGACAGGGAATGATGACAGGCTCGGAATCAGGTGGGATTAATCAAGAAGTCTCCTGCCGCAGAGGTCTCCAGCCAGATGTTGAAGGAAGGGAAGGAGGGAATGTGTAGGGTATTTACTTACATGTCCCCTGAGACCTGCCTATCAATGAGTTAGTAAATGAACTGATTTATTAAGAGCCTACTATGTGCCAGGAACTGTCCAAAGCACTGGCGATACAAAGAAAGGCAAGAGACAGTTCCCAATCGAATGGGAAAGATGACATACGAACAATATGTACAAACTGCATACAGCCTAAAAGGGAAATAAGCAACAGAGGGAGGCATCAGAATGAAGAGGGATTGGGAAAGCCTTCCTTATAGAAGGCAGGATTTGATTTGGGACTTGAAGGAAGTCAGAAAGCAGAACTGAGGATAGAGAACATTCCAGGTGTGGGAGATGGCCAGTGAAAATGTCAGGAGATGCAGTGTTTGGTGCCAGGAATGGCAAGAAGGCTGGTGTCGCTGGAGAGGCGGCAGGGCTTAAGGTATAAGAATCAACAATCACTTACTGTGTTCTTTGGGATACCGTATGAGATGCTGGAGAGGAAACAAGATATCCAAGGCATGTCACACACTTGATACATTATGCATGGTGAGGTAGGCGAGACAGTCATAAACAGGGTTGTGGGAAGTGGCTGGGCTGTGACCAGAATAACCATCTTCTTCCTCCTGTTTCAGGAAGCAGTGAAGATGGTGACAGAGAGTAATTTGGGCCTGGAAGGCACTTCAGAATCTATAGTGCTGGCGTGGCTCTGTGGACCAGGGCAAGAAGAGGTGGCCCTCCTGGCCCCAACACGAAGCAGCGGAAGAGATGGGGTGGGGGAGGAGGGGTGGGGGTTGTCCAGAACTCGGCTCTATTTTTTTAGACAGATTTTATCAGAGGCATTTGGTTTGCTGCTAGCTCACAGAGACATCACCCCCCCACCCCCGCCTTCTGCCCCTTTGTCCAGTACAGGTGCAGCCATGGACGATGGTCTGTGTGGGCATATGTGCTTGAAGGCATGCGGGTTTGTGTATAAATATACATATATAAATGATAGCGTTAAAGGGTAGACTTGCAGAATCCTGCTCCCTTTCTTAGCCTCCCCTCTCGAAGGGCGTGACTACGACCCCAGCGCTGCTTGCTCCTCCCTGTGGTCTGTGACTTCTCGGGGCTCACCCCTTACTGCTGCCCCAGTGCCTCGTGCTCCCCTGCTTACTAGAGCTGTAGTGAGGGTGGGAGCCTGTGTCAGCCCCTCCCAGGGCCTCCTCTCTGCCCCTGCTCCCTCAGACCCTGCTGTACATACACTGGATTTCTGAATCTCCACGCTAGTGTCATTCAGTAATACTGTCTCCCGTGACTTCCCACCGGGACATGTTTCTACCTTGTCTCTGTCTACAACTCAGATAGATGGCTGGTTTCCTGAGCTGGCTCCTGGCCTGACCCTCCCTGTCCTCCTACCCTTTTGCCTAGCTTCTGCCAGGAGCTGGCTCTGCTGGAAGATGGGGCAATGGGAGGGACGGTTCTCTTTTTTTATTCCCTAGTTTTGTTTTTGTCCTTAGACCTTTCCCAAGCAGAAGTCTGGGCAATATTTCCCAAGCAGCTGTTGCTGTCTGGCTAGAGCTGGGGAGGAGGAAAACTATTGGGTCTTTCCCTCTAGAAAATGAGGTTTCCTCACCCTATGGCCTTGGTGCTTTGGGGCAATGGGGATGGGTGGGTGTTGCTACCAGTACAGCCTCATTCATCAGTGACACTATGGGACTTCTGGGGTTTCCTGTCCCTCTGCCACAGGCTCTATTCTAAAGGCTGCTTGTGGGGAGCAAGAACTGAGGGGGAGAGTTTGGGATGACCTCTCTACAAGGCACACAGGCAGTAAATGGGAGGGCTTACTGGGCCGTAATTGCCCTGAGCTGCCAAGGAGAGCAAGGAGGGGACCCCTCCCATCCAGCTGTCCACTTCCATGTTCAGTGTTGGGATCCCTATTTCCCCTGCTCAGGGGCCAAGGAACAGGTTGGGTGGGCTGGGCAAATGGGGCTCTGTGGGAATATTTTTGTAACGGCTAATGCAGAGAGAATGGGACCGTGATAATTTTAAGTTATTGTTGCCAAAGAGATGTAAAGAGTATATTGAAGGGGTGGGGGGTGGGGGTGGGGGGAAAGGGACCTTATTTTTTGTTTGTCCTTTTTTTAATTATTTGTTTGAGGCTTAGAATGCTGGTGCAATGACTTTTTTTTTCCCTTTATTTAAAAAGAAATTAAGCTAAGAAAAAAAGCCTTTAAGCCAAGAGAGTGTGTTCTCCTTTGGGGCCAATAGACCAACCCCTGTAGTAGGGTCACAGCCTTGGGAGATGAGAGTGGGGAGAAGGACAGTTGAATAAGTGTGTGTATGTGTGTGCACTCATATTGTGCAAGAGCATCATGAGGGAATAAGGGGATGGAGGAGTATGTATCTGTGGGTGGCCCACATGTCCCAGCGTGTGTGTGTGTGTGTGTGTGTGTGTGTGTGTGTGTGTGTAAGTAAACAGGTGTGCTTTGTGTGTGTCTCTGGGCAATGACAGCCTTACCTACTGAGAAGGGCGCGGTTCAGAGTCCCCTGCTTGGACGTGGAGACTGTTGATTGTTTTTCCATGGTGTGTGTGTATGTGTGTTCTGATGTGATTCAAACATGTCATAGCTTGAAAGTCCAGCCCAGTTGGCATCTGTTTCTAGAAAGGTAAGAGATGTTGAACCCTCAAATCCTTCAGGGGTTTCTGAAGTTGGGCCCTTCCCAACCTCTGAGCATGCTGGGTTCTAGGTCTTGGGACATTGCTGACTCAGTGTTTCCCCTTGCTGTCTCTGAAAGTCCCAGAGGCACTGGGGAGAGAGATGGAGGGAGGGAATGGGACAAACCTGAAGGGAAGTCTGAGAAGAGGCAGACCTGACTGTGGTTTTAATGGCTGCAGGTAAAAGCAGGCAACAGAATACTCGTTTCCTCTGACAGATGAGATGATTAGGGATTAAGAAGCCAATCAGACCAGCTCCTGGGTTCCCCCTTTGTTAGAGACAGCCCAGGTAAGCCTTTAGGTAGGACTACATCTCCTCTTCCACCAATCAGGCTCTACCCTCCTACCCCTTCTTTCCTGGGAGTGACTTCATTTCCATATCTGCACCTGAAGTGCAGACATGACTGTCTCCATTCAGCCGCCTGTTCTTTAGACTAAACTATCCCAATCTTTGAAGGTTTCCCTAGTGCTACTGGTCAGGACCCTAATGAATCCTTTTCATGGTCTCCAAGGCCAAACTTGAGAAAGTTACTTTCTGAAGGCAGACTTGGAATGGGCCCTGGGTTCCAGCTCTCAGGGCAGGAAATGGAATGGTTTGGTTTTAATGAGAGGAAAACAGTGAGGACAACTGGACTAAAACTGTGGCTGGAGGTCAGGGTAGTACCTGGGAATGAAGAAGTGTGGGGCTTCTGGTACAGAGTGGGAGGGTGGTCCTGGTAGGGAAGGGGGCCCTTGATGACCAGAAGCTTTCTAGACCACCCTCATATTGCTGGAAAATAGGAAACACACTGATTAACTCCACCACTCACCCACGCCAACTCTTGAGCCACCAATGAGTAAGGGGAGGGTGGGGAGAGAAAGAAATTGGCAAAAAAAAATGCCTGAAAATGGTTTGTCCCTTGCACCCCAAGGGTGGTGGTGGTGGTGGCAGTCCCTCTGCCCTAGCTCTAAAAACGAAAAAACACTTCAAGTCTTGACAAAAGTGGGTAGGAGGCAGCTGGGAGCTGGTGGAGGTGTTGGAGGCGGGGCAGCAACAGCCTGAGACAGATTCTTCTTGGGCTATGGGAGGATACAGGAGTCCCTTTGTCCTGGATGGCCTCCACTGCTCTAGACAAAGTTGGGGGGGGAGGTAAAAAATGAATGGAATGAGAATAGCTTCCCTGCAGGAGGGGCAAGTGCCCCACGCCAAGCTTGATTGCCAAGCTATTAAGCAATTTTCAGGGGCTCTGGCCACTGCCATCCTCCTCTTCAGGTCAGGAAAGTTTTTGTTAGCCCTAGGCCCTCTGGGACAGTCTAATTCCCTTATAACTGTTCCTTTACTCTGCGTAGGTTTGAAGATTCCCCTTCATACCCTTCCTGGTGGTGTCTCCTTTTTGTCAAGTCTTTGATAAACACAACAGATACTTAAAAAATAAAACAAAATGCTACATCCCAGCAGGGCCTTGCCCTCCACCCATGTCCCACCAAGCGAACAAGGTACATTCCTTAGAGGGAGAAGCCACAAGGTCCCCAAATATCTCTGCAAATGCTTACTGAACCTGAATGCCAGGAGTTCGAATGCCAACTCCAACCTAAATTCTCCTGTCCTTAAAGCCTTGTTCATTGGTTCATTATGAAATATGATAGGCTGGGGCTAATTTTTTTCAAAGTACTTGTACATCTATTTCACTGAGTCCTCACATAAGACCTGGTTAGAAGTAGTTAGGAAAGATGAAGAAATGGGGGCCCGGAGTTAAGTGAGTCAGTGACTGCCAGGCCTACTGACCGGCTCACTTTGCTCTTAAATGGGATGAGGTGGTTCTGATCCATCTGTAATCAAAGCCATTCTCATATCCAGTCCCGCGTGTGGCTTCTATCTATAAGGCAAGCTGGCCAGTGTTAGAGAGACAGTCTCTAGCTAAGAAGTGAGGGTAGGGGGTGCGGTGGACAGAATGCAGACTTAACTGGCCTACCAGCGGCACTGACTTCCCCAACCTTGGCCTCATTTAGCACTACATGCCAAGCACCTGAACTCCCACTGGGCTATGGTGAGTACAGAATGACTGTTCTTACCTTCAGTCTAAGAATGGAGTAACTCCCAAGCCTTTGGATCTTGTGGCCTAGAAAGCTGCTCCCAGGAGCAGTTCAGGATGGTGAGTGAACAAAGAGGTAAGAGTTAGAGTCCAACCCATACCTGATCGAGGATCCCTGGTACAAAGTGGTTGGGTTGGAGCTCTCCAGTGAGGAGGCACCTCATTCCACTTTTGGACAGCTTTAATTGTTTAGTTTTCCCTTAAATCAAGCTTCTTTGCCCCCTTTATCCTTAGTCCTAGTTTTACCCTGAAGAGCTAAGCAGAACAAATGTAATTTTTCACAAGGCAGTCCTCTGAAAGTTGGAACCTCCTTGATAACCAAAGGATCTGGGACCAGGGGACTGGGGAAAACTGCAAACAGCCTTCTCTCCCACAGGGGCCTTGCTCATGCACTCATGCTAAAGGCTTGAACCCCTCTTCCTGCCCTCCCCGAGGTTATTAGCACATCCAGTTCTGTGTTTCCCTTCTGAAAGCCGGGAACTTCCCTCCTGGATCCTGTTGCCCCGATCCCCACCCCTCAATTTGTGCCAAACCGGGGCAGACAGGGTACCTTCATCAGCCTGTTTCTTCTTCCATTTGTAAAATGGGTGGTGAGGGGAACTTGATAACTTGACTTCCAGAGCATCTGTCTACGCCTCTGGTATTCCTGTTTTGTTTTTTCTCAGTGTGTGTGTGTGAGGGGGAAGGATATTAATAGGGATGGTAGGAGATGGGCAGGAAGCCCAAATCACAGTCTGACTCTGACCAAGTTCTGGGCCACAGAAGTTGGAGTTTCAGGGAGAAGCCTGGTTTCCTTTTAAACCAAGAGGTAAACTATGGAGCAGGTGGGAGGTGGTTGTGTATTTGGGCAGGAAGGGGCTCAGCACTCCCTCTCCCTGGGCTACCCAGGCAAGCCCAGGGGAATGGTCCTACAGCCCTGCCCTGCCGGGTCTCCCTCCCATCTTGTCTGATGGGTAGGTTGGGCCTAGGACAGCAGGGGAACCAGGACCAGGTGCTGCTGGTCTAGACCCTCCCCCCCCAACCCCCAAATACTACTTAAAGGCTGCATGAGGCTCAAGCTGTCTTGGATATTTTTATTAAGATAAAGGCTATTATTATTATTGTATATTTTATCAATACGGGTCATAATTGCTGTATTTTTTACCAGTGCTGATTTCCATACAGCTCCCCAGCATGTGTGTAAAATATCGTCGGTCTGATAATAAAGTTTTTAAAATATCTTAAACGAGGCTCTATCTTTGTGGTCAGATGGCCCCTGCCCATTAGGGTGGCCACTTCTCAAATGGTGGATGGGAGAGGGGTGGGGACAAGTAACCATAGCAGAGGCTGTCTTGTTACCTACATTTGACCCTGCCCAAACCCCCAGGAAAGAAAGCCAGTAGCGAAGCCTAGGGGAAAACCATGTTAGCCCTGATCATAGCAACCCCTGGGGTGGCAAGAAAAGAATGCGCTCTAACAGAACACACATATAGTAATATAGTAATAGCTGGCATTTATATAAAGTTTTGCAAGAGTTTTATAAATATCCCATTTAATCCTCACAACAATCCTGGGAGACAGGTGCTATTATTGTGTCTATTTTATAGATGAGGAAACTGAGGCAGAACTTGTGATTTGCCCAGGATCACACAGATAGTGTCTTCGGGCAGCTTTGAACTTGGATCTTCCATGTAGATGCCTCCATTTTGGGAAATAGACAACAAAACTTAACCTTAAACTACCTCAGAATAGGGAAGACCAATAATGATCCAAAAAAAAAAAAAGTGTAGGATTCGGGACATTTTTCAGTGCTTCATCTAACAGCCAATTAAAAATTGGCTATTGAAGCTTTTGATAATTTCTGCTTTTATTTTCGCATGGATCCGCAGTCTGCCACCCTTGACCCATTCCTGACATTGCTCTCTTGGTGTAACTTCTGTCTAAAGCCCACTCTTTCATTTGATGTTTGTTAACAATCTCCTAATCCATTAAACTTTGAAGTGTCCTCCATAACTCTGTCTGGGTGCTCCTTCTCCATACTCAGTGATCCTCCCACATTTATCAGCTACCTCCTAGAACACTGCATGCAATACCTGCATGTCTTATTGATTTAACATGTCCAAAATGGAATTCATCATCTCTCCCCTCAACTCACCTTTCTAGAAACTTAATTTCTGTCAACAGCATCTTCCCATTTACCTAGATTCACAACCTTGGAGACAACTTTGGGGGTTTCTGATTCTTCCTGAAACCCCCATGACTTGTCCACTCTACTCTCACAGATACAGCACTTTTAAAATCACTT